TATTCAGCTCACAAAATGCAGGTTGCTAGCAAGCACCTCGGATGATCTCTTAGCAGAAAATTAACCTCATCTCTCAGCAAGCCTCGCTCCCTGGCCTGTGCCGAGCACCAGATCTCAATCAAAACCTCGGAGGGACAGAGAATCTGTGGCAGGGGATCATTGTGGAACTTCTGTCTGTTGGGGTGGATCTGTCTCGGCTTCCCAGCCACACACACTGCCTGCGTTACAGCCGCTGCCATATTGACAGCAGCAGCGACGCTGGAAGCTGGGAGGGCTCCAAGGCTGCACAGAGCGGCTCTGTGTCAACTCCAATCCTTTCTGCCTCCCTGCTCCACACTAACAGCATCCTCTCCAACGCACACACAGAGGCACGACGCGCTTCTTTACATGGAGCTGCTCCTGGGCACGGCAGCGTGGTTCCTCGGAGAACAATTATGAAATTGTAACAAAGTGCTTTAAAGGGGAAATTCTTCCCTTTGATTCCTGTCTGCCCCTCTCAGCCTGGAGCCTCCCACTCTGCTTTGCTGTTGGTTTTTTGTGTCCTAACCTGCCTGGAGGAACTGGGGAAGGAGCGTGGAGCACAGGCAGGGGCCAGGAGCCATCTCGCAGCGGAAGCATCTGTTCTGCCACGGCAATCGTGATGCCCGAGAGCCACAAACATGTCCAGGAGACACTCTGATCATTGACACAGGAGAGAATTTAAATAGCTGCCACGCTCTCGAGCTAAGCCAGAGACAGAACTGTAGATCACACTTTATGTAACTCATTTTTATTTTTAAACGTATTCTTTAATTTTCAAGGGGAGTTTGACTCGGTGGGTGTCTCCTATCTCCTTGTTAGCACATGTGAGGTGGCTTCTTTGATCAACCCACCATCCAGTGTATCAGCTGCTTGATTTCCTCACCTGTACCTGAAACTCAAGCTCCCCTTATTTCACCTTTCAGGATTTCCTCCTGCCTGGGCTGGTGTGGAGAATGATTTGAGGTTAAAGGTGAATGGATAAATTAACCCCTTGAAAGCATTCTGAGCTGCATCTCTGGATATTTCGTAGTGCTACTGGAGATCTTTTTTAAAAGGGGGATCTGTTCTGATGGCTCTTCACAAGTGAGAGAAATGTGTGGTTTGTTTTGCAGTTTAGCAAGTGATCTGTGTAAGTCCTAATTCCTTCCTTCCAAGGAAGTCACCTTGTGCTGAACTAAGGTGTTTTCCCTGGACACTCAGACAAGCCATCAGGCAGCCTTGGCACAGTGAGCAGAGTTGGTTGTCAGTTACCAACGATTTCTTTCCAGCTTTAAGTGCAAACAGGGGTGGAGAACAGAAAGCTCTGCAGATAAATTAATTACTGATTTGAATTCCCTTGGGGTTGGGCCCAATATAGGTACCCAGTCTGGATTCTGGATAAATTCTGAATGAACATGGAGGAGATCAAATGACACTTCATGTCACAAGAGAGTTGCTCTGAGTGTCACTCCAGGTCAAGGGTGGTTGTTCCTTCCAGTCCTCCAGCAAAAGACCAAAGCTCCCTTGGAATACAGCAGAAGGGGACTGTGGCTGCAGGTTTGTCATTGAGCTAAAGCTAAAGACAGGCTTTGCAGGTTTGCAGCATGCAGCCCACCTGAATTCCCAAAGCCAGGACTACTGTAGGAGGCAGCTGGCCTTGTGTAACTGGCAATTTGCAGTCACAGAGCCTACATGGAATTACAGAATGGTTTGGATTGGAAGGGACTTTAAAGCTCATTTTGTTCCAAGACCTTGCCATGGGCAGGGACACCTTCCATTACACCAGGTTGCTGAGCATCTTCTGGAGAGATCTCAGAGGCAACAGGATAGTTTGCTTGGCACTGTAGAAAATCCTCTTGGACTAGCAGGTTGTGAAAGCACACCCCTCAAACAAACTCCTTGCAGCACTGCACCAGAAAGGAGAGACGCTGCCATGGATCCAACAAAAGTTGCAAAGTAAGAGCAAGCACAACCCAAAGAAGCTCAAAGCCCTTGTGGCAGGGATCACTGTAAATATGACAAGGCTACGAAGTCGAAAATGAGAAGTGGAAGCGACAGCGGCAGGCTCAGCGTGATGTCTTGTTAAACAAAAAATAATGGCATTCCAGAGCAGCAGCAGACCCCCGAGGACACAGAACAAGAGTGAGAAGATAGGGAGAAGTCTGCTTAAATGTCAAGGTGAAGGGGTTTATTTGAGGCAAACCCACAGCCAAGTAAATGAGCCAGTCAGTGTAGACATCTTCTGATCTTCCAGCTCGGAGAAGGGTTGCCAGCCCCAGGAGGAGCATCCCTGTACCTGGAGAGGCAAAAGCCACACGACCACCAGCCAAAGCTGCCTTCCTGGTCCTGCTGGATGTGTCAGGACAGCCGTGCTGGAAGGCAGAGATGTCTTCAGGCCACATAATCATATCTCTCATTTGAGTGGCAGAAAAGGGCATCAATTGAAGCTGGTGGAGCTGTTTGGTCTGGAAGAAGTTTTTGGGTAAAAATCATTTGAGGGGATGATCAATGGTCAAAACACGTGGAATAGGTGGGGAGGCACTGAAAACAATAGGGATGGTGAAAAGAACCCTGGGGAGGGAGAAGATTAATGTCCAGGGAACACAGTGGCAAATTCCTTCCTTCCCCCCCAGGGACAGCCAACATTCCCAGTGCTGCACGTGTTCGCTGCTTGTGTGTTTGCTGTTACCAGGTCAGGAGGAAATTGCTTTGGAGTAATTTTTGGTGAGATTTAAAATTTTGGATGGGATTCAAGCCTAATATCAAAATGAGTTTTTTTTTATTAAAAGCATTTAAATAGAAGCTACAGAGTAGTCAGAAGCAGGAGGGCTATTTTAGAAGGAATTTGCTATAAACCTACTGCTCAGAAGCTTTCTAAAATATTACACTATAAAAACCCCATAATTCTCTTTATCTGCAATTTAATTACATTTCCCATAGTGCCTGTGTCAGAACAGTTCACTTATTCTTGTTCTCTATTAACTCACACCTGCCCCAGGAGATTTTTAGAAGAAAAAAATGATGATATTCAGAGTCATTTATGTTGCTCAGGATCTCACTGAGGTCACAAAAAGGTTCTAATGATGTACTAGAAAAATAGGAATTTGGGGGACTCATACTGGTGATGGCTGTGAGATTGCAATATATAAAACTGGTGTAAAAGCAGGGGGAGGAATGGGAGCACTTTTGTGATCCACTGACCTATCCCACCCAGAATTAGTGGATCAAAGTTTTTGATCTGTTTGGGACTGCAGCAAAGTATCAAAGTATCTGAGTAATGGACCAGAATTATTCAGAGCTTTGTTGATTGACCATTTTGCTGACCTCCTCCACCCCACAATATCTGTGGTGTAAATGAGCTCTGAGGGATGTCCTGGAAGTATTATGAAAACATTGTCACTTGTGACACCCTGCGGTGCCCAGAGAGAACCTGGGAGCGTGGAAAGAACGTATTAAAACAAAAATGACATGTTAGAAGTTAAACCCTTGGTGATGTTGTGTTAAATTTGGCTTGGGTTTGGGGCAAGGGCTGCAGCTGACTGTTATTTAACTTGAGCAAACCAGCCTGTGGGAGCAGAGGCATAAGATGAACCTCAACCTTTGACTGTGGATTAGAGGAGATTTTGCCAGCCACAGCATTTCTTCAGTGCTTGTCTTCTGATAACTGGAGACATGATTAATCCCAGTCAGGAACTGGGATTTGAGATGGGAGGTTGAGAACAAGGCAAATATTTCCTTGCCACATTGAGCTGTCAAGGAGAGCATCCAAGATGATGGAGACCTGAGACCATTGCTGCAGCGCTGCTGATCCCTGTGTTTTTGTAGGAGGTTTTGCAGGACTCTATCTCTCCCCAGGGATGGTGCCTGGTGATAATGTGCTATCTCAAGCCATGCTTCCTGCTTGTAGCACCAGGATGCCAAGGTCAGCAGTGTTTTAGCAGAGAGGAAGGTGACTACAAATTTCCAGCAAAAAGGCTTATTTAACTGCAGAAGTCTTTTTTTAAAATTTATTTTTATTTTTTTTTTTTAGTCAGTCAACTTTATCAGGATCAAAAAAGCAATGGATATCCCATGGCTTGAGCTCTCAGTGAGCCAGTGACTCCCCTCAGTGCCTGGGCAGCCTGTGTGACACCCAGATCTTGTCACTGATGGTGGGGCTGAGCCCAGAGTTGGGGGGCTGTGCTGCAGCCCCCTCCGTGTCCGTGCCCTGGGTTAGGTTGTTGTTAGAGTCACTGGGGTGCACTGGACATCCCACACACATCCCCTGGAGGATGGAGGCAGGTGCAGGAGAAAAAAAAGGCATTGGAGCCTATAGGCTGGGGTGGAGGGCACTGAGGGAGGTTGCAGGGAACAAGCGGGACTGCACAGACCAGGTGAGACAAGGGGTCTGTCACATCACTGGCTTGCTAGGTGGATTTTTCCTTCTGTCATCGCATGCCCAGCAATAAGGTCCTCCTTTGCCTTGTGCCAAAATCTTATTTGGCCCTGCTGACACCTGGGCTCCTTAATTAAACTGTCCCACCCCTTCTGTCTGTGGCAACTCCTGGCGATCTGCGACCTGAGAGAGCGGCAACCTCCCCAAAACCTCTGAGGAGCCGATTAAAACGATGCAGGCGGGTGCTTTATTCCGACATACCGAGGGTGACAACAGCGAGCGCTCTCGCAGGCATCCCCCCTCCCCGCCCCCAGATGCTCCCCGCCAGCCTCTGGCATCCGCCGCCCGTGCGCGGCGGGCCCCCATCCCCGCGGGGGGACAGGCTGGGGCTCTGCTGCCAGGTGGGTGAGGCGGGGATGCGGCGGAGCGGGAGGATGCGGGGGGCTCCTCGGCAGAGCGCTGCGAGCCGGCTGCGCAGCCGGGCTGGGGCTGCCGGGGGGTTTGGCTGGATGGGAGAGCGGCTCTGAGCGGCGCGGCTGCTGCTGCTGCTGCTGCTGCCCGGAGAGAGGTGGGGAGGGGAGGGGTGTCGAGGTGTGACTCTCGCCCCGGGCAGGGGGCTGTCTCTGAAGAAGACGCTCTGCTCTCTCCCCAGAGCCTCTCTGACCACGCTGTCGGCACAGACCCACCGGCAGGGAGGACAGGTCAAAGGCAGTGAGTATCTTTATCTCTGTGTCCGTCTGTCCGCAATGCCTCTGTGCTCGTTTTTTTCTCTGGATTTCTCTGCATGTGAACGGATGGATGGTCTTAATCTCCCGAAGCCCCTGAGATTTCACGGTTTGGGTTTGTTGTTTTTATTTTTTTAACCTTTGTGCTGCTATTTTTTTTTTTTTTCTATTGGGATGGCTTTATCTTTGCTCAGGTGATTTGACAACCTGAACGTCCTAATCACACCCCTCCCTTTCTGTCTCCCAAGAAGAAACCCCCAAAACACATCCATGATGAGACTGGCAATTCTCCTTGACCGGGGTCCTTTCATAGGAGGGGGAGGTAGGATGAATGATGGAGTGGGAGGTAAAAACCCTCACCAGGACCCCTATTGCAGTGCCAGACACCACAGATTATATTTTAAAGTAATACCTCGCCGGCTTTATTTGCAATCAGGGGAAATATCCGTGGGTATGTCAGCTGAGCAGTGGGATTGCCTTCATGGGAAATGTAGGTCTCAGCATCCGTGAAGTCAGACAGACTTTGGGATTGCGGGGAAGTTGGGTGCTGCTCAGCAGTGCAGGTGGTTGCTGTGGGGGCTGGCGGGTGGGTGGGAGTGGGGGTGAGCAGAAGGCTGTTTCATAACAGTACCCCAAAAATCGGGCTGCTAAAGGAGGCTGCAAGGGAGAGGGCACCCGGCTCTGCTTCCAGCTGTCGACTTGGAGCAGCAGTGGGAAAGAGGAGCAAGGGTTGCTGGACTCTAGGAAACTGCGTGCTGTGGCCCCACATGCGGGTGAGGCTGTTAATGAGGAAATTTAAAGGGGCTTAAGGAATTACAAGGATTGATTTCAGTTAAAGCGCATCCGAAGCAGCCGGTCAGGGTAGGGATTAAGGGAATGCACTCAGTGGCATGTAGCACAATCCCAGTTCCATTAATTTAGTGGGGAAGAGGCTTTGTGCGTTTTTAATGTAATCAGGTTTTAAGAGGGATGTTGTGTTGGGCAGCCCAAGCTCCGGGATCTCCCCAGGCCCCAGCAGAGCAGGGTCCTGACTCCTTGCACACCCTCCCTGCTCTCATCAGTTCCTCTGTCTCCTCCTCAGTTGTTCCCAGTGGGCAAGAGGGCACGACATGGAGGTTACCTGGAGCTTGGCCCTGTCCTGACAAGTCAGAAACCTTTACCCTGTGCTCACTGTGCAGTCCTGCTCTCTGTCCCTTTCGTGTCCTGGCTGGTGGATCTCACCTTCACTCTCTGTGAGATTTGTTCAACCAGTTGCCTGTGTGCCAAGGCTTATGGAAACCCCGCCATCCCCAGTCTCCCTCTCTCCCTTCCTCCTTCCCTTCCCTTTGCAGACTGTGCATCTCCTTGGTGGCTCCCCACGGGCTCCCACCACCCCAAAGAGGAGTCGCTTGCCTTGAGTCATTTTTGTGTGAGTGCTTGAGCCTGTGATGGTGAAAAGACCAGCACCTGCAGATGCGTGAAGTCCTCCTGTTATTTTATTTGCAGTGCCAGCTTTTCCATGATGCCTGGCCAGTAACACCAGCCATGACCTGGAGGGACAGGGACAAGAGGTAGTTTGGCCTTCTTAGCGAGGTCAGCCCGGAGCTCTGCCCGTTGAGGAGAGACCTTCAAAGGTGTTGAATGATGAGTGCAATAATGCCAACTCCTGCTGCTCCGTGGTGAGCTGTGACGCCAAACTCAAATCTCTTTAGACCTGAAGCTGGACTTAACCCACGGTCCTGGTCTTAGAAGGAAATGCTGTCTCTCCTCTGTGATCATCCCTCAACTCCGAACATCTTCCATTGAAAAACTGACCTTCCGCGCTAGGAGGCAAGGATCAAATGGGTTGAGAACAACTGGCCCTCCTTGTTTTTGGCAAAGAGGATCCTTTGATATATTTTTAAGTGCCAGGACATGAGACAGTAAATCCCTCCTTCCTGCACTCCTGCCTCCTGCAAACAGCCCCGACTGCGGTCCAAGCCAGCCAGTTAAAGGGTTAACCATAACTGGATGCCTGAATGGCTGCCTTACTGATCCCACGGAGGTAACTGGAAAGACACAATGCACCCCTCACCCCTGCCCATCCTGTCGCTCTCTATCTTGTCCAGCAAGCCCTTCAGCTTCTTGCAGCGTCTCCTCTTCCCTCCTGCCCTTCCCTTGCCTCTCCATCTCCTCTGGACCCAGTTTCTTTCCCTCTCTTTCTCCTGTGTCCTGTCTTGGAAGTCCTCACCAAGAGAAGGGTGTTCCATGAGAGACAGACAAACTCCTTGCCCGTGGCGCAGCGTCTCTGCCCCCTATACACTCTGATTCCCTGCTGCAGTCCCTTGATCTCAGGCATCAGAGGGAATTCTGAGCAGCACTGCGGTAATGTGTGTCACACCTCTTGCTGGGAAATTCGTGAGCTTGCTAGAGCAAACAGAGCAGGGAAGAGAAAGGTTGGGGGTAGGAGGCATCAGGAAAGGTACCAGGAGGATCCCATAGGAGACTCGGTGTCTGTTTGAGCACAGCAGGTCCAGCATGCTCAGCTGGGAATGTGACACTCTCTGTGCTGATATCTGGGGTTTATGGAGTGCAGCATCCCGGGCCCATGGCCGTGGGTCCATAGTTGGAGGCTGTGCAACAATTCCTGCAAGTGAAGATCTCCTGGTTTTTGTGCCTGTTAAATGCTGCGAGCTGCCTGTGCTGCACCAGGGAGACACTCGGTGCATTTAATTAACATTTAATTTGCTTTAAGATTACATTAAAATGTGCAATAATAGAAGCTCTCCGAAGGGCGGGAGGAGAAGGGGGAAACAGGCGCGCTACAGATTGGCTCAGGCACTGGTGCTGAAGTGTTCTGCAAGAATTACATATGGAAGGGAAAAAATCCTGTACTCCTGCAGCCACAGAAAGTATTCGGCATCTGTTTGGCAGCTGGGCTTGGAGAAGGGCTTCCTCCATCTCGAAAGTAGGTCCAGCAGCTGAGAAGTGGAGACTGAGTCACTAAATCTTCCTCCCATGGTCCAGAGGAGAGAATGGCCTGATTTGATTTCCAGGGAATCTGGTAGAAGAGATGCCCTTGGGCTGGAGAGATAAATCAGAGGCTCTGCCCTCCTAGAGCCCACGTAAACCCACTACCAGTCCCTATATGTTTTGGAGAGGAGATGGTGCCAGTCCCGTAGGATGCATGTGTGTGTTCCGTTTGCCTCTCCCTTCGTGTTCCCGCCCATCCCGGGGTTATGTAATGAAGGATGCTGCGGCTGCTGTCCCGGGAAGGGGCTGGCAAGGACGCGAGGGGCTGGCGGAGGATCGAAGGCTCTGGGGCTGGTTTGAAATTCAGAGGAAAAAAAGCAATAAAGCCATTTTCTGCCTCAGTAAGCGTGTCAGGAAAGAGGCAGTTTTATCCTGCTTATGTAACCCTGAGCCTAAAGAAGCTGCTTGGGATCGATCCTGGCCAGGGACTCATGGCTCTGCATCAGAGGCTCACCTTGCAGGTGCCTTACTCCCATTCTTCTTCCTCCAGCCCCCTCCTGTCCTCCAGCCCTGGTATTTGTGCTGTTTCTGGTGCTTCTGGAACAGGGTGACTGATTTCTTGTATTGCTGCCCATTGTTCTCCTCCCACACCTGACCAGAGCAGAACTTTCCAAGAAACCATCACAAAGTGCAGCCTTTAAAAGCCTTTTTGCCAGTCAGAGCAGCTGAATGACTGGTGTGGGTGAGCCTTCAGCTGCTCTGGTGCTGCGTCCATCCTTGGCATCTGCCTGACATCTTACTGGAGATGTCTCAGGGTCACTCCCACAGATGAGGGAGTCAAGGACACAGGTCTGATGAGGCACAGTGTCACTGAGGTTTTTCTGGGTTTGTTTTGTTGGTTTTTTTTTTGCCACTCTGGCTAGACGTATAATCATCATCTTCTTTGGTTTTCCCCTGCTAACACCCCTGCTCCCCCACATCGACCACAGGAACAGAGGGATGAGGACTCGCCTGGGCTGCCTGTCTCACAAATCAGACTCATATAATGATTTCACAGCTATTCTTCCGGACAAGCCCAACCGGGCTTTGAAGTGAGTATAGCTGCAGCATCCCACCCCAACCCCACTTCTGTCCTTCCCCTCCCTGCCCACCACCCCCTCCAGTATCGTCTTCCTTTTGTTGTACTTTGTATAAGCTGTGACCAGTTCTTTTAGCCAGGGGGAAGGAGGACACCAAAACAGCACCGATACAGCAGGAACAGCCTCAGCAAATACCTGGATCATTGACACGAGTTCTCCCGTGAGACAGGACATGTGCAGAGTCCCCACTGCTGTATGTGGGACAGTCTGCACCTACTTGAGGATGTAATTTACACCTCTGTCATCACAAATCAAAGCCTGAGTAGTTGGCTTGGTATAAGAGGTGACCCGCAATTTCAGCTCACAGTCACCTTCATCTGAGCCTTGCTATGAAGTATGAAGCACTGCCAAAATTTGGGTGATAGTTTGTACAGATGATTCCGACCACCCAGAGTCCTGATTTGAGATGACTGGGATGGGGCTCATCTGATCACAAGTCACTGCTTATACCTGAGCTAAGGTCTAATCTTCCCCTGAAAGGCAAGCGAGAGAAATAAACATTTCTGCAGCAGTGGGTTTCATTTCACTTGACTTTTGGAGTTTACAATGTAAATGTCTGCACCTGAGCTTGTTCCCTGGGCCTCTGCTTAGAGTCAATAAGGGAAAATTGGTCCCTTTTCGAGTGTGATTCTTCTGGCTTATTTTACCTGCCTATCTTGGGGTGTGAGATGAACTCAGCTGAGTCTCTGCAAGTCCCTTAGTATCTCCTCACTGATTCTAAAGAAAACCCAGGGTCATTGGCTCACCTGAAGACCTGTACATTGTAGACCTCCAAAGACAGGTGAGAAGAATTCCAGCCTTCCTTGGTGTCCTCACCAAACAGCTCTAGAGGCGATCAGCAGCTGTGGGTTATCTGCAACTTGCCTCTTCCTTTCTTTACAGAAGACTCTCAACAGAAGAAGCAACAAGATGGGCAGACTCTTTTGATGTCCTTTTGTCCCATAAATGTGAGTAGAAATCAAATTCTACACTTTTTTTTTTCCTCTTGTACCCTTAATACCTGTTGTAGTTAGGGCAAAGTATGTGTTGCATAGCAGGGGAAGGGTGCCTTGGACACCTGCTCACTACCCAGTGGTCACCATCCTTTCTAGGTAGGACTTGCCCTCTGCTTAAAAGGTTTTTGTGTGTTTCCTTCCTGGCTTTGCTACTTCCTGGAAACCCACAGCAGCTAAAGTCATCAGCCCGAGCCTTCTCCAGCCCCTGGGGGTGTACTGGAGGCAGGACCCCGAGGCTGCAACCCTGCAGATCATCCTTCAGCACGTGCCTCTGGGTCCAGCCTTTCCACCCAGGCACACAGCAGGTTCTCAGCTCACTAAATCCCCCCGAGATCCACGACTCCAGTTTGTTCCCCTCTCCCTGCAGCTGCTCTCTGAGCTGCCGTGCAGCCACTCCATGTGGAGGCACAGCCTTTGCTGGGAGCACCACGACACAACACCCTGCCTGCTTCAGTAACCTTGAACAACTCGCTCTGCCGCAGAGAAATCGTCCGTGGTCGCCCTGAGCAGAATCTAATTTACAGTTATCAATGCAGACCTGAAAATTTCCCATCCAGAGAACTCGTGCCAACCTATCATCAGCCCACCTCGCTCTGTTCAACAGATCAATTGTATCAGTTCTGTTCAGCAAATATGATTCTGCTTTGCCAGCATTTTCATGCTGAGAAATTATAAACAAGAAAGAGAAGTTCACAGTATGGGCTCATTCATGTGTTTCTATTGGAGAATAAAACCCAAGTGAGACAAGGTTGGGGAAAAGTCAACGTGGGCGGTGAACTGTTTCATTGCAATAAGGAGCTGTCTGGCTTGCTTAGAGATTCGGGTTTTTCTGCACTTACATTTTAAAATATAAGTGTAGAATTATATTATTAAGTAAAGTGTAATTTTGCTGGATTTCTACTGCGTTGACAGCAGTTTTGGCAGGGAATTAAGTGACAACTTTGAACAGGCTGGCTGACCAAGGCAGAAAGAACAGTATATAATTTTAGCAGCAGTATCTAGTTGAGATCATTGCTCTTGCAGCCAATAGGAAAAAAAAAATATGGTAAAGCTGGGTATGGCTAAGAGGGAACCTTTCTTTTGTGGAAATTCAGAACAAGAAGGGGAAAAATGCACCAAAGAGACTATGGGATGCCTGGGGGATGAAGAGGAGGAGGACAGGATATGCACATCACTGTTACCATCCTGAACTTGAGTCCCTGCTCCTCCCTCACTGATGTAAAACTTGAATTTCTCTTATTAGATACAGACTGCAGCAAAAATGCTTTGGTTACAAAACCCAGCAAATTTACCCGTCTATGCCCTGACATTATACAGATTGTTCCCTCTTTGGGTGACTACTGCAGATGCTGAATCAAACCTTAGTTCAATTATTTTGTCCAACAGCTTCCCCGAGAGTGTCTGGTTTTATTAATAAATTAGGCTTATAGAGTGATAAATGAATTATCAGGATTTTTCCTGTCTCTAGAACGGAAAGTTAATTCTGATAACTCTCTGGCACTAATGAAAAATATTCAGTTCCTAATAGCAACAGAAGGTGATCTTTAAAATTTAAATTAATCTTTTTTTATCTGCAGTCACGGTGACATTGCCTGGTGATTGGTGACAAAGAAATTTGTTGTTTAATAAACTACTTTCTAAAGGAATATATTATAACTGCTCTGCACCTGAAGCTTCTGGAATTGCCAGCCTGGCAACCAAGGGTTATAATGATGCAACTACAAAAAGCTCTGTTGCAACAGAAATGTTGTTTTAGTTACAGTGGTTTAAAGGAGAGAAGAACATATATTCAAAAAATTAATTATATTGTATGAGTTGCATTTTTGCTGTTAGAGATGTGCTGATATTAGACAGGTAAGGGAGCCTTATGCCTTATCTGCCAAAATTTGGGAGTAAAAAGAAGCAGTGCCTGGCCTGCTGGCATTTGCCTGTAGTGAAGCTGCCAGATAATATTCTGCTTTCAGTGCCAAGAAAAGGACAGAACTGTCTCCTAATTTCCCTGTGACTGCTCAGGTGAACAATATTAGCCAGGGAAAATTCATGCTTGGGGGCATGGGCTAAGCACCAGCTGGGCTCAGGGAGAATTTCCCCTGAGGCTCACAGCATCTGCAGGTAGATCACTTCTGCCTGACACATCTGTCATAAACTCCGTCTTCACTAGATGGACAGTTCATTTATTTTGGAAAGGAGATTGTGATGCTGATTTCAGGGGGTTATGCGGTGTTTTCCGCTGCAGTTACGGAGGTTTTGGGTCCCTTCCAGCCCTCCTGTTCTTTGGGGAAAATACACCCTGGACTGCTCAAGCAGGACTCAGGAGCTGGATGTAGCAGCTGAAAACAGGGCAGATGTTGTGGGCAATATTGCAAGGGGTTGGACAGGTGGAAAAATTGCTCCAAGGAGCAAGAAAGTGGTTCAGAGCTCCCTAAAAGACTCTCCAAAATGCCAAGGTGAGCAGGCTGCCCTCGTATTCAGAGCAGGCACCACTTCTTCCCCTTCTTACTTTCATGAGTCTCCAAAAGGTTTCTAAATGGAAGTGACCTGAATAGGTTTCATGCATTATACAGACTCTACAGAGAGTGTCATTATGCCAGGCTGGGTGGGGATTTGAGCAACCTGGCCTAGTGGAAGATGTCCCTGCCCACTGCAGGGGAGCTGGAATTAGATAATCTTTAAGGTCCCTTCCAACCCAAACCATTCTGTGATTTTATGCTCACTTTTGCCAAATATCTCTTGAAGTGTGATGGCCCCGTGGAGCTCCCTGTTTCTCTCTCCCCACGTTGTTTTAATGGATATTCTGTGTAGATAATGTTTGATCCTGACCTGCCGCTGTCTTGCAGCATCTTGGACTGAAAACCCCTGGGATCTGAAGCAGTTGCTTTTCTGCAGAGATTCCCAGGCTGGGTAATGCCCCTCTGCACAGAGTGGTCTGATTTGGATTAATTCCCCAGTCATTTAAAGGGTAATTTGTGTTGACATTTGCAAGAGATTGCGAGTAGGAAAGGCAGGAAGGCTCTCCCTGTTGCACCCCCACCTTCCTTTTGCACTGGCACTGGGATCCAGCATCCCTCATCCCTCCTGGAGTAAGCAGTGCTGAGCAGTGGGATGCAGCACAGCTCCGTTTCACTGGCAGCCCCAGATGGATAGGTCAGTGCAATGATATCCTAATTGCTTCTGCTAATGGGTAAAGCAAATCAACTTGAAACCCTGGGGTCAGCCAGACAATCCCTTTTTTACATCAGGAGCCTTGTCTGAGCTCCCTGCCAGACGCAAGCACAGCACAGCATTGTTCCCTGGGGTCAGGGCTTCTGAGCAAGCAACAGGAGAGAGAAGTCTGATCCTACTCTTCTCAGGGAATTGAGAAAGTAAGAGACAGATTGTATGCAGCGTGTTTCCTTGGGTGCCCAGGGAGCAAAAGCAGTGGCTTTAAGCTTTAAAATGCTACATTTTGGCATCTTTCCCTGTTTTGTGCCAGAGCAATGGCTCCCAGGGAAGAGGAGCTCAGCGGGGTCCCCAGAGTGTGTGTGCATGCGTGTGAGTAACTGAGGAGTAATCCCCCCTCTGTACCCATGCCCAGGAGGTACAGCCTGGTCAGCCAGATGACGATTTCTTTTGACAGGCTGCTGGAGGGAAACACAAGCAATAGCATGTCTCATTCTGCATCCCTCGCGGGGCTGGACACATGGCTTGTCCTTTGTCCAGAATCCAGCAGGACAGTCTGTCCTCAACCCTTATTCACTTTTCAACGAAGCGTCTGACACCGAGAACCTTTGCATTGAATTTCCACTTTTATCTCAGGGGTGAATTCCCCCCCCCCCCCCCAGATTTTTTTGTGATCTCTGTGCTCTTCTGCCCAAACTTTATTGTTGTTCTCCTCCTCCTGTTGTCTACACATTCCTCCTCTTCCTACACAGCACAGGAATATCCCAACCTACTCTAGTTCTTTCTAAGCCAGAACAGCATTAGAATTAATGTTGTGCTGGTGACAGGCAGCTAAGATTAAACAAAGCACTGCTCAGCAGCAGCGAGAGCACGTACGTGTGCGACCTTGTCTCTCCAGCCCTGGACCCAACATGCTCCATGGAGCTAATCCGTTCACTCAGCAGCCACAGGGACTCTACCTTTACTCCCTACACGAAGTCTGCTGATGGAGTGAAACGTGGGCATTAAATTAATGATTGTTGATTGCTTTCTTACTCTGACAGTGGCAGGTGCGTGGTTATTAAGCCTCCCTGCCTGAGTGATTTAGGCCACTAATCTCGGCCCTTCCTCATGCTGCTGAGGCTTGCCTTAGTTAAGACCTGCCTTGTGTTTCCTGCTGGCCACTTCAGTCCTTTCCTCCACAGCCCTTCTTGCTGTGTCCTGAAGAGCAATGTCTGAACGGGATTTTAGGAGCTCCTGAGTCCCTGTCCTCACATGGCCATCAAACTGCCTCGCACTGCCCATTTATAAAACACAAATTCCTGTCACTGTCTGATTCACAGGTGACCTGCAAGGTCTTGGGATGGGGTAATGTGTGAGCACTTGCACAGTCCTTCCTGGCAATCCTCTTGCATGTTCCTCAGTCTATTTAAATGGAGAGCAGGGCATTTTGAAGCTTATATTTACGCTGCAAAAGTGAAAACTCAAATGCCTTTGGCTTCTCTCTCAGACTCTTGAGACTCAGTAAAGAGCTCCATTTCTTCACCTTCAACTTACCTGATCCATCAGTACTGATTTCCTCCTTTGGCTTCAAGCAAATCTCTTGAATCAAATTCCTGAATAATTGCCCAGTAGTTGTCTAGGAGGGCTGTGCATCTCTACTCAGTACATCCTGTCCTCTTGAATGGCCATGCCTTTAGGCAATGTGTTAGGGATATCTTGTGCTGCTGCATCTGAAGACTTCTAATACTGCTTTTAATTTCTGTGCTCTCTGTATAAAGCATCCCTTTGGAATCACACTCCAGGTTATTTCAGGAGGTGATGCTCTCCTGCTCATACCACACTCCAATCCAGTCCTGGTAGCCCTAGCAAAAAGCTGTCCAGTTGCACAGGATGAGCTTTGAAATGCTGATCATTCGTGAGTGACCCTTCCTGGAGAGCTTTCACTGTGCAGGAGGAGATTAAACATCCAGGCCAAATTCCAGCTCAGGTGGTAGCAGTCTCCACACCTAACTGTCCTCCTGCCCTTTCAATCAGATTTGTCATTATTCCACAATATACTTGCGGGCAGTGATTTACCAACCAGTCCTCTGGGCTCCCATCTCCAAACCTGGCTGTCAGGCACAGCTGTAAGTGCTGGCAGGCAGTCAAGGACTAAAGATGAAAGCCAAGGCATCCTGGAGTCAAGGATGACCTCTACAGCATCCAGAGCCTCCTCTGCAAGGTCCTCACAGGTTCAGCCTCATCACTTCCAGCTCCTCGAAAGCTGTGAGGAGTGCATGACAGGAATATATGAAAAAGCAGAGAACAGCCAGACACTATTATTTATCCATTCGCTGTCTAAACTTACTTCAAGATAAAAAGGAGTTGATTGACATGAGAGCAGGAGGCAGAGCACATGGAAACCTCCTGGTCCCAGGGGACACTTGCTGCGGCTGCTCTCCGGGGCAGGGCTGAAGCAAACGCCTTTCTCTCCTTGTCAACCATGATATTCCTTTCCTTCAGCAGAAATTATATTTTCCAGCTCTTACATTTTTCGGATACTTTTCAGATATTACATTTTTCTGATATTATATTTGTCAGAGATGATATTTTGCAGATGATATTTTGCAGAGCTGATACTTCCACACAACACTCCTATTCCTGAAAATTATTCTCTGTCAGTGGTGGGACGCTGGAGCTGTTGCACAGGAAAGAAGGGGGAAAAAAAAAGCCAGGGGAGCAAGATCTCTGCAGGGGGACACACAGCAGAGACTGTCTAGTCATAGAAGTGTGCTTGGGTGCTGGAATATTTAATGTCAAGCATCCTAGGAGCTGAGGATATATAAAATGACACAGATCTTGAGGAACTGCAACTTTCTCCCTTTTTTATTTTCTTCATTCTCAAACCTGTCAGTCTGCCATTATATCCTCTCCTTTCCCTCCTGCAAAGACTCCCTGCTCTATTCTCCAGTCCTCCACTTGCTCCTCCACAGGACCTGTGAACTGTATAGGCATTAAGGGGGACACAGGTTTTGGAAAATGTTTCCGTGTCCCAGATTTCAGGAAGGGGAGCAGCCTTAAAACATCCCTCTCCTTCATCATATTTATCTCCCCACGGAGATGCTCAAAGCAGCCATGGGCAGCATGGTCCTGACAGGTGCCTTGTTCCTGGAGATGCCTTTGGCACTCTGCTCTACTTCTCAGGGCTGATGTCATCTTGTTGTCGCCCCAGGCTTGGACCCACAATTTGCACTGTTATTTACTCTGCAGTGCTTGTGGACAAGAGCTCTGGTTTTGTTCACTGTAGCAGTGTAAAGCCTTGATCTTCTCCTAAAAGTCCTTTAATTAAGAAGTGTCAGGATGAGTTGGAATAATACAGCTATATCTGGGGCTGACAGAAGGAAGAAGCACAGCTGAGATGTATCCATTTTTGTTGCTGATCCCAGACTGATGATGGAGCAGTTACTGCACAGAGCCTGTTATTGAAGGAGCTTTGAGAAACCCAGAACAGAGGGGTTTAGCCTCTAATTTGGTCTTGGCTGGCAGACAGGACCAAAGGCATTTCTGCCTTTCCCTTTGAGAACTTAGGCAGTCTCTGCTGACTGACATGCAGCCAGAAATAGGATTGTCTGTTGCTGCCCAATACTCAGGGCCATTTCTTAGGGCTTGAGGCTTCAGCAGGAGCTGAAAAATATCTCCACATCCTAAATGATTACCAGAAACACAAGAAGCAGGAATAAGATTAGGACACCGAAGGAGAAACAGGGTAGTGTCACATTGTTAAAGATCTATAACATGTATATATATATAGCATATGAACAGCATATTTATTATATATAGCATATAGATAACATATTATATATAGCATAACATATTATATATAGCATATACAGCATATAGAAGGAACTATCTGAATAGCCTGTTGAAAGATTTTAGGATTATCCAGAGGGATCTGAGAAATGGGCCTGTGGAAATCTCATGAGGTTTAGTAAGATCAAGTGCAACATGCTGCACCTGGGTCAGGGCAACTCCTACTATCAATACAGGCTGGGAATGACCAGACCAAGAGCAGCCCTGCTGAGAAGAAAGATGGAGAGGGACTTTTTACAAGGGCATGGAGTGACAGAACAAGAGGGAATGGCTTCAAACCGACAGAGAGTAGGTTTAGATTAGATATTAGTAAGAAATTCTTCCCCATGAGAGTGGTGAGGGACTGGCACAGGTTGCCCAGAGAAGCTGTGGCTACCCCATCCCTGGAAGTGTTCAAGGCCAGGTTGGAAGTCCTGGTCTAGTGGAAGGTGACCCTGTCCATGGCAGGGGGGTTGGAACAAGATGATCTTTAAGGTCGCTTCCAACCCAAACCATTCTGTGATTCTGTCGTTCTATGATTTGTTTTGTGTGTAGCAAGAGTGTGAGAAAACAATTCCCACAAGTTATAGGCTCAGTGTCTGCTTTTTTTGTAGCCATTTATAGATCTGTGGTAAATTCTATGGCTTACTACTAAATGTTTGTACTATCTGTAGTCAGGTGCACAGTTCTTGGCTGGCACTATTAATATAAAGAACATTTCACTCTCCTTGGCAGGGGGAGTTGGAAGTAGATGATATTTAAGGTCCTTTCCAACCCAAAGCCTTGTAGGATTCTGTGATTGCCATTTCTCCTCACCTACCCGGTACAGGCAAGAAAACAAGGATAAAGCTGTAAGGGAGTTTGTGATGGATCCTGTGAGATGGCCAGCCCCTGTCCCTGGTGGGCCTGGGCTTGCTGTGGGTGTGTAAAAATGATCCATACCAAGCATTGCAGCTTCCATGTCCTTGCCATGGGAGAAAGGAGGGAAGGCAGCACTGCCAAGATCTCCCACAGCAGAAAAGGAGCAGGTGGAGCCCTCAACCCACAGCATTGCAGGAGTTCAGGTCCTACAAACCCCCATCAGTCTTTGTCAGATCCTGTACAACGCTGCTCCTCTCATCCTTTAGAGGAGTATGACCTTGCTGAGTGCATTCCCGATTCCAGCAATATTTTTAGGCACTTGCTGGGAAGTAGCCAATGCTGACTCAAGAGCTTTCCAGTCATGAACTACAAAAACTCAGACCCTATAGAAAAAGACGGGGAAGAGTTAGAAACATGTTACTGGAAAAAAAAATTGGGAGATAAATTTATCCCAGGGAGAAAGGGTATGTATGAAACCTCCGGCTACTTCCACTCTGCTGGTGCCGTTCAGGGAAAGGAAATAAAAAACAGTGGCTGTGTCCATAAATAGGCCCAGGCAGGGGTTTAAGAGGACACAGATTGCCTAATAAATCTCTCCATATTTCTAATCTGCCCCGGCTGACTCAGATTGCATTACTGAAATGCCACAATTGCTAAGCATTAGCAAGTGATAAGAACACTTTTACCACCGACCAGACAAGTTGTAATTATGCCACGTCCTTTTCCTCTCCCGTTTATTGTAGCTCTAACAGACTCTCCAAGATCCTTCCTCTGTTTAAATAAGAACCAAAAATGGCACAAGGCAATAAAGCAAAGTGACAGAAAACATAGGAGACAAGTCCACAGCTGCCGTGTTTTATTAAAGGTTTTTCTTAATGACAGGATGTTACAAAGTGTTGCATTAAGATGCACAAGATGCAAAGAGATGGTACCTTTCAAGCTTGATGATTCCAGGAGGAACTTTTCAAAGGTTCAGTGTCCCAGTCTTGAGGAAAACAGTTTTTCAGAGCTACATCAAATGATGTTTGGCTTCGTGGCAGCTCAAAAGAGCTCACCTGATGCAGCAGTGTAAGTTATGGACATCCTGGGATCTCAGACCTTGGGAGAAAAATCAAATTGTCTTTGGTAGGAAGGGTTGGATGGAAGGGTGTCTGTTAAAGAGGCAGCTTCCTGCCTTCTTTCCCCTCCCATTGCAACTCCCCACGTCTCTCTTGCAGACGGACTGGCCGCTTTCCGTGCTTTCCTGAAGACTGAGTTCAGCGAGGAAAACCTGGAGTTCTGGCTCGCCTGCGAGGACTTCAAGAAGACCCGCTCGGCAGCCAAGCTGGCCACCAAGGCCCAGCGGATCTTCGAGGAGTTCATCGACGTGCAGGCTCCCCGAGAGGTGAGGGGGTATTCCAGCACCCTGGGCTGGCACGGCATCCCTGCGCCGAGGGGAGCAGGTCCATCTCCCCCACACGGGACCTGTGGGGTACCAGGGAGCCCTCCCTCCTTCCTTCCCCTCCCAGAGGTGATGGTGATGAGTGGATAAGGAGGGTGGCACTGCCATCCTGGCTGCTACAGCTGCCTCTACTCATGGTGACTCATCCCCAGTGAGGGCAACCACTTTGATGATACTAAATTAGTCACAGCCAGAGAGTTCACCGGCAGCCTCAACCTACATTTCCTAACCTCTTCCAGCTTCCTAGAAGCATTTTCACCTTGCTCCTCTCATTTACTATCAATCCTCGAGCAGGCTATTGGGCTCATTCCTCACAGGACACTTTGCATAGAACAATCCCAGGAACGACTAACGTGTTGACTCTCCAGGGAGAAGTGTTTATCTGCTGACTAACTCCCAACTCAATTAGACCTCCTGAAAGACGCGAACAATAACTCCGAGCTGAACAAAAAGTGCAGTCACAACGCAGAGCCTGGAATTGTTAAGTCCTCTTTCAGGTGCTGACAGGCAGATGCAGCTGTCAGATCCTGTGTCGTGATGCTGGGTTGTGTTACTGTACTCATAACACAACCGCGAGGGCCTCACTGCACTTACTGCCTCTGCTCCACTGCGCGGGTGCTTGGCACAATCCAGGTGCCCACGAGGGGAGCCCCTAAAAGGGCTCATTTTTTGGGCTAGGAAGGCTATTGCAAGGCCACTGAGGAGGACCCAGATTTGCACCAAAGTGTGTGGGTGTCTCAGGGAGCGCTTCAATGCCCGCTGCTCTCTGTTAGCGTCTTCTTGCTGTTATTCATGAAGCTGGGTGAGATTTTAAGGACTGGAGGGCTGAATCTTGATTACAAATGTAGAGTACAGGTAGGATGGGGGCTCTCCTATAATTTGGTCCAGCTGTGAAATTTCCTTAACACTGTTATAATTTTGGCAAGCTCAAATGACCCTTAAGCAATGCAGAGAGTTAATCTGTACTGCTGCCATGCACAATAATGCAGACAGCTTTACTTTCCAGGCTCCTTTAAGTTTGGACACTGGGTTAGTAACAACAAATACCAACTTTTCAGCCGTTTTTTTTCCAAACAATAACCCTAACAAATGCTGATTGCTTTGCTAGGGAAAGAAAACAGGAAAACTCCCTTAGCTGGCTTTGCAAACAAAAGGCAGTCATAACATTGGGGTGGTTTATTTTTTCAAGCCTCTGCTCCAGATATTGTAACACTAAGCTGTTATGGGAAAAATCAAACAATTTATTTTAGATCAACAGAGTTTGAAAGCATTTAATAAGAATGTACTAATAGTTTAACCCCAGTTAAAAGTTCATTCAGCTGTATATTGGGCATGTTGTGAAGAATAAAGGGAATGGAGAAACCATGGTTGGAAGGAGAGAGGTTAGGCTGAATCAGCACTTTTGGATGACGTGCTGCATAAGAGTCTGAATAAGAGTAATTTGATTTCAGAAGTGCTCAGATCACTATAAATCCAGTTCAACTTTTCCAGGCTTGGGGCAGGATTCATACTACTGGATCACTAAACTCTGCAGAGTTGTGGGGGCTGTTTACGCCCGGGTGAGGGTGGGACCTTGGTTCTGCTGCTGTTTTACAGCCACGGCTGAGAGGGAATGCGCCATTTTAAGGAGGCAAACTGGTCACTCAGTACCAAACTCTCTTCTGCTACTTTTCCCAGGTGAACATAGACTTCCAGACACGGGAGCTGACAAGAAGAAATGTGCAGGAGCCCTCCCTCTCCTGCTTTGACCAAGCTCAGGGGAAGGTGCACAGCCTGATGGAGAAAGACTCGTATCCCAGGTTCCTGAGATCCAAAATTTACACAGACCTGCTGTCTCAAACCCAGAGGAGGCTCAGCTAGAGCAGCTGTGGGGCCCTCAGAAACCATGTGCTTCCCACAACAGCCAAAACCCATGTCTAAACGTGAAAATTTCTCGGTGTTAAAAGCAGTGGGAATGAGAAAAGAGGGAGAAGGGGAAGAGGAGGCTTCCAGATCATGATCCAGGCACGGTATTAAGACTCTTTGACTTTCTGTGCTTTTTTTTTTTGGTTAGCAGTAGCACCTTGCAGTTGTTGCCTCCCTCTAGCACAAACCCACAATTCTCTCTAGTCACGGGGTCATCTGTTGGGAAGGCAGGTTTCCTTTAAAATTACTGCATTGGTTTGTGTGTAAATAACACCATGGCACCTCTCCATCCTTCCAGACATCTCCCTGGTTCTCACCTCTCCCCTGTGCTTGGAAGGGCCCTAAAGGCAGTTCTGACTCTTGTGAAGCCATGTCCAGCCCAAAGCAGTGTCTCCCACACTGGCTGCTGGGGTCTGGACCCAGAGACCAAGGGGAGGGAGAGAGAAGGAGAAGGCACATGATTCATGCTGCTTCTCAGTGCAGAAACCATCAGCAAACTCAGCTCACCTTTCGATTTTGGTTGCACACCTTATGACACCAGCTGCTACCCTGTCACAGCCCCTTAGCCTTCAGGGAGGAGACCAAGAGTTGTTTGCCATAGGACTGCCAAGGAGCTGAGATTTTCTCATGAGGAAGGTAATCCCAAAAGCTCTCGCTGGATGTGGTCAGACAAGTCTTCTAGTGCGACTGATTGTTTTTCATTAATATTATTTGTTTGTGCTGTAGCTCAGCCTCAGGACCCCAGTTGTCGTTCAGGCTTCGTTGTGTTGGGCACTGTACCAAAACCTAACACGAAGAGGCTCCTGGCTGCCACAGACATTAACAGGCTTGGTGGCTTCTCAGGAATGATCTGTTGGCTGTTGGGGGAGAGTCAAGAGAAAGAATGTCCCCCCTGCCCCTTGCTGAGGTGTAAGAGAAGCACAAGACCTGTCTGCTACGGTAGATGGTATTTTTCATGTAGTACCTGACCAGCGCATGGCAACATGAAAAATCACAATTATATTTTTATTATTCACTGATTATTGACTGTTGTTACCTACCAATTGTCCACTGTGGGTTCAATGCCATCTACTAAAGACACAGACCCTGCTGCACGGTGCTTGTTTCAAACAGGATAGAGGGAAGCATGGAGTGAGCAGGACGGGTGTCCGGGTGTGCAGTGGGGTGTGAGGTGTCCTTTGGCCCTATTCCCACAGCCTGGATAGCCGCTGCAGGAGAAGACTCTGTGCAGATGTCAGTGGTGTAGCACCTCCTCTGTGCTGTGCAATAATTCCTACCATCTGATGGCCCCATTTCCACGGCATTGCCGTTCCAGCTTGTTGGATTCTTGCAATATTTTCTAGTGGAGAAGCAGACAGCCTGTCTGTAGATTTGAGCCTACAGACCAGAGGTCTGTTTTCTTAATTTTATGAAGGCCTGGAAAGTGACCCCATGGATCTTTTCCTTCTCTCCATCATCGACAGACCAGAGGCTTTAAACCTCTGCTCTATATGAGGGTGGTGGGTAGATTGGTTACATCAGAAAGCTGCTGATAAAGATTTAGTGTAGTGTGGTGTAAACTAGGTAGAGTGAATTCTAAAGCTAAGCATGATGTGTTTGGAATGAGATACAAAAAGCCTGCTTAGATATTAAAAATTACTGTCCGTGAACTAGGTAGGAAACAGTTTTTGAGGCTTTCTGTGAGGATGCTGTGCAGGACATTAGAACAAATAGCTTTAGGAGCAAGATAGAGGTGGTAAGCATGTTTGGTTTATTTGGAGGTGTGTGGTCTCTAAGACACTAAAGTCCAGATATGGTACAATTGCAAATTTTATGTTCGGTAAGGAAATCTGCTTTTCGGTACCTGTTTAGTCAGGAACAGAATTCTCCAGGTCTTTGGTAGGCAAATATCATCTCCAGTTAACTTTCCCTGAGGACTGGCCAGAAAGAGCAGCATGCTCTGGCGTCCTGGCCAGTGTTCTAAGCTGTCCTCTGCCCCTGCAAGGACACCTGAGGAGCAGGGGCTGGAGTGTGGTGAGAGATGTGGCATTCTGCAGCCACACTCAGGCTCAGTGGCACAACTTTTGGAATTGTTGAGGTATGTGATGTCCCTAATGTTGTGTGTCCAGAGAGAAAATGCTCAAGGTCTGGATGTTGCTTTGCAAATTTGACTGTAGTGGCTTCAGGCAAAAGTCTGTGCTACTTGTTTGAAAGTGGGAGCAATGAGAGATGTCTGAAAAATGCCCAGGATTTGCCATGATTCATCTAAGGGGTCCATGTTGTGCAGTAGTTCCAACAGCCCAAAGCTTTATGGCAAACAAGATACTTGGCAAAGAAGGTGCAGTGGCACAGGTGTCTGGGGAAACCTGTGCAATGCTGTGGAAGGAATCAAAGATGGAAGGAAAGGATATACAGCTGTGCATCCAGTGGCTGTCCCTGGTGGTATCTGGGCCATAGGAAATGGAGCAGAGTCACATCACCTATACAGACCCCTCCTGACCCAGGGGGTGAGGGCAAACCCCCCAATGTTGTGGTGAAACACTCTCAGGGCTTGACATGCAAGGGAGGATTCAAAGCTTCCCTCACCGACAGTGAGGAGAGACTGGAAGAACTGCCCTTTCCAAGAGACACTGTCTAACACACCTGTGTAACACAGGATGGACTGGGATCTCTCAGGGGCACAGGCTGCTTTGGCTGAAATAGTTCCCCCTGAGATGGCCTGTGGCCCCAGCTGTACCCAGTGTCACTGCAACTGGTGATCCCACTGCTGCCAAACGGCAGCTCAGCTTCCTGACACTGTGGCATCAAACAAGTCCTGCAAGGGGTGAAGAGTGGCCACCTTGTCTGGCCCTGCCCTCCTCACTTTCAGCCTTCTCTCGCCTGCACATGCAAAAAGCATCCCAGTGGTGCCCAGGATGTGAGAGCCAGCAGCAGGAGGCTTATGCAGTCACAGCTTTTAAAGAGAAGACAGAAGGCCACGTTAACTGCCTTGTGGTACTTCTCTACAAGCCCCTGACAGACCCCCTGAGTGGGCTCGGATGGTGCTGACCTCTAGTGCCAGTTGATGCACCCCGGACAAGGCTCTGCAGCAAAGCCCCCCACGGTGGGGAGGGTCACAGATACAGCCAGGAAAGGAGGACACAGAATAAACAAGATGTTTGTGCCAAGGAATGGGAGTGAGGACAATCCCCAGGCTTCCCTGATGGCTACAAGGGCTGGTCCTGTTCAGAGTGTGACTCCAGAAGGTAACATCTCTCCACAAGCTCCTCCAGTGTTGGTGCTGTTGTCCTCTCAGTTTATGTCAGAACTCATGAAGAAACTCCAAAGTAACCAACACCCTGTAAATCCAAGCTCCCCACTCTCCTCCATCAGCCTGGAAAATTGCTTTGAGTGGGCGTATCCAGAGATGCCATTGCTGCAGTGGTGACAGGAGCTGTAATCACACTGGCTGGTGTAGGAGAAGTGTTTTGCCCATTAAAGTTGTGCCAGATAACATCCTCCACGGGAAACATCATCCTAGAGCCCAGAGTGGAGCAGAAGTATTGTCTGAGGCATACGAGTCTATCACAGTTATTTTTGTTGCTGCTCTTACAGTTCGCCTCTCTTGAAGGAAAGCAGACTAGTTATTTAAAGCAAAACTATATTTTTCTTAAACAAAAAATTGGCACCAGCTGCTTCTTTTATGCCAGATGTCAGTCTGAAGTGAATTAAAATAGACAGCCTATGGCTCTTCCCCTTAAACCAGGGGCTGATCGAGGAAAGCACTGAGTGATGACTAATGCCTATCAAGGACAAATATCCTATCTTTGATTCATCTCTTCCTCATGTGAAAGGGATATTCATAACTTAGAAACCCCATTTCTCTCCTCCACAAGCCCACACCTTCAAAATTTTCCTCATGTTCCAAGTAATGTCAGAGTGTGCCATCATAAGAAGACAAGGGAAAAAAGTTGGTTCACTCAGCTCTTTTTATTCTGTTTGCTGGTACATATCCAGTCAGCTCCCAAGTCCCTTGATAGCAAAAGGGAAAAAGAGCTTACAAATCTCCTTTCTCTTTTCTATAAGCTTCAGGTGGTGTTAACTCCAGGATGGAGATGCAGAATCCCAATCTGCTTTAAGATTCTCCTGCTTTGGCCCATCAGCCAGGCTTGGGATGATTTCCATCACTTTTAGTGGACTCTTTAATGTACAGAGGGGTCCCTGTCCTCACACTGGGGGGGTGTGAATGGCAAAGTCTCGCTGGTCTAAGCAGGGGAGGAAAATCTGTGTGTGTGTCTGCGGGTGTGGGTGGGTGAGAGTGCATGTGACTTCATGTGTACCTTATTTAGTGTCCTCTACTACAGAAGCTTTTCTGAGACATAGATGTGCATGTTAAAATAGGAGAATTAGGCACAAATGACATAAAATGAGATTTTTTAGCCAGTGTTGTGTTTGCCTTGTGTGTAAGTTTGACCAGTAGTAAGAGATGTAAAACTCTGCTAGGCTTCCAGTTACCCATAAGAGCACATGTATCAAACTGAACTGAATGTTCACTGATAGACACAAAACCAAAATGTTTACAGCATTCAGAGCAATAGCAAAGCATACCTCACGCCAGTCCTGGAGTGCCTCTCACCCATCAGTGCAAGCTCTCCCCTTCCTTGGGGCCTCTTGCTTCTCCCTTCAAAGCCCTCTCTCCTTCTCTGTCCTATCCTGGGGGTCTTCCCTCCTCCTTATGCTTTCCTCCCTGAAGCTCTCCAAGCACCTTTCCCTCCACCAGCACTGTTTGTCCCCGTATATCTGAGTCTGGGTCTCCCATAACTCCTCCCATGCCCTCCTGTTTCCCTACACTCCATCCCCATCTAGCCTTTACCTCTTCTTTACCTTTTCCTTCCCCAGAGACTCGTCTCTGGCCAAGCCACCTCCCTCCTACATACCTCCCACTGTCGCTGTAAAGCTCCTAGTAGCTGTTCCTTGCCCATTATATAAGAACAAAACGTTTCACATAATTTCTGCATTATCTTTCATTCCTGGAGCTGCTGCAGTTGTCTCCTTCCTTGGTGCTGTGTTCCCTCCAGCATCGTAGCATTATATCCCAGAACTGCAATTAAAGTCCATTTTGCTGCTAGAACAGAACGCTTTTCTCTACTGTGCTCCCCCTGGGCTTTGCAGAGGCTCATCTTGTCCCCACCAATTTGTCTTCCTTCTTCTTCCATCCACGCTCCATGTGCTGTGCTTGTGGTAGGGGCTGGCTGGTGGAGAGGGCAGCCGTGCTGTGCAGAGGCAGTGGCTGCATAAGCAGGGTCACAGCTGGGCTTCCCCTTGGCTTTCTGGTACATAAAAGTGGTGTCAATAAAGGTGTTTGTATTGTACTTGCTTGGTAAAGTCAGTTGTTCTGCTCTGTGCCTCCTCTTGGTTTTACAGGAGGGATGTATCTCTAATTTGAGATTATTCCCTAAACTCAGCAGGAGTTCAGGGAACTGAGGGCTTTGGAGAGAGGAGGCAGAAGGGAATGAGTTTGTTATCAAAAAACTCAAACATTTCTGGCACAGAATTACAGAAGAAAAGGCAGTGCCTGCTTCTGGAGGGACCTGGTGTACCAGGGAGCTACGGGGACCAGTTGTGGTGTGAATTGTTTGTCTCAAGCAGCCCCTCAACTCCCAGTTTGCATCATGTGCTGCGTGCCCCAGGCTGGATCTAAAACATGACAGATGAGGAGCTGCTCAGCTTTGCATTTACAACGTAGATAACAGCGTTATCCTAAGAGAAATGTCTTCATGTTGCTCTATCAGTGCCTGCAGCCACCAGCTAAAAAGCAAGGAGGGGAAGGAGGCACCTTCTGTTGTGTTTACTCATGCAGATCTCTGCGGGATTACTGGCAATGAAGGGAGCAGGGTACAAGCACATCCTGGGGTGGATCCCCCTTCCTTAAAAACCACGACTGAAGATCTCCTTCCCTTGTAATCTCTCCCCCTTCTCCTCTACAAGCAATCCAAATTGGACACACAGAGTTCAGATTTGTCTTTAAGCTTTCTGGCACCTCCACCTTCGGTGGGATGGCAGTGTCCCACTGGCAAGAAGGGGCCTTGAGGACCCCACTCCAAACCCAAGCGTCAAATAAGACTGTTTTAGGTAATAAAGATGTCTTGTTCCTGTGGAAACACACTTATGGGTGGCTCAGAAGAGATTGAGGATAGCAGTACTGTATGGGGTGAACTCAGAAGTGAGCCACCAGGTAGAAAGACCAGCTCAAAAGAGCTTCCCTGTGCCACATTTTTATTTTAATGAGATCCTGATGCTGCAGCTGCCTCTGCAGTGTCTGGGTGCTGCTGGTGTGGGTAGATAACAGCAGGAGCCATTTGGGCAGGCCATGCAGGCTGTTCAGTCTGATCCCTTCCCACTCAGGGAAAGGCATGGGCTCGGGTTCTGTCTGACCTTCCCTCTGCATTAGCTGCTTGTTTGCTAGGCTCACCTTCCCTGTGAGGCTGGAGAAGCTCCTCGTGTCACCACATTGTGAAGTGTTACTCACCTGTACTGTATAGAGACCGTGAGGACATAATAAACAGCCTGAGACTATTTGTTCTCTGCCTGAGTGTCTGAAAAGGTGCGAGTCAAGCACGTTTTCCTGTCTGCAAAGTGGGAACTGAGAGCCTGGGGATGGAGAGGTGTCTCCTAGCAGAATTGCTGAGGAGAAAAAGAATGGGACAAGCTGGTGCCTCCTCAGATCCTGGTTTCACTGGTGGAGACATTCTGGATGGGGCAGCAAAGAGGGAATATGACTAAGCAGTCAGTCTGCTCTGTTGAAGCGATTAAGAACCAGGCTCCCTGGAGGTACAGTTTGGGGACATGAGTCAGAAATGTGTCAGTAGGACCTGGGAGACTACAGGGAAGGAAAATCTGAAGAGCCTTCCAGCAGTGCATTGCTGTCCTTTTCTGGGTACACCCCACTGCAGCCTCTGATGGATTGTCCACCCCAAACCCCAAATTCAATCTGCAGGACCTTCCAGAAGGGGATGGGCCCTTTCCCAGCTGGGAACATGGCAGAGGAACATAGGGCTGCAAAGGCAGCTGCTTGGGAGAGCCCTGACCACCTCCAATACACATCCTGCCTTCAGGCAGGGAGAAGAGGTGATGGCTCCAGAGCAAATGCTCTCTATTAACCCACAAACAAGCAGACAGAAGTGGCAGAGTTGGGGCATCAGCTGCTCTGTGGTGGCATGGCTCCCACCTGCCCCTCTGTCAGCCTTTCCATCACACTCCCTCTTTACCAGACATAAAAACAAATGTCAAGTCTGCTCCCTGCACCAGGACCAGCGGTGGGGGATGCACAAGGAAGGTCTCCCAAAAAAGGGATCAATGTGGATGGATCAAGCATGACCAGGTCACAGAGAACAAACAACAAATGAAGGGCTTTCTCTAGTCCATAAAAAGCAGCCCTGGACTCCAGCAGGCAGCTCATCCCCAGACCTCAGCTTGATTCATCTTTACGGGATAAGCTGAGGAGAGACAAGACAGGCTGCAAGGTACTGGCCAGTCATGGGCCAGTTTAGGGTGTCTGGAGGAGCCCGGGCTTGCTGGAGGAGGGTCAGGCAGCAGCTGAGGGCAATCCCAGGTAATAAAGGGGGAAGGGGAGGCATTAGTAGGGGTAGAGAAGATCAGGGGAGGTTGAGTGTTAGCAGAAAATTCCATGGTGAGAGATCTGCTGCAGAAACCCTCTTGGGGCTTCAGTGGGGAATGGCTGAGGCCAAGCAGAGTGTCTCCTGAGCAGGTCTGGCCAGCAAGCAAAAGCAGAGACCTGGACCCCATCCAGCCCTGGGCACACAGAGGGCACTCCTTGCCTGGTGCACAACCCACCCTGCCTGCAAAAGGTGAGTGTTTGCTCCATGGTCTGCACGGGGTTTCATTTAAAAACAAAAATTAAACAAGCTTGGTTTTCTCTGGAAATGGGTGCAGTGGAATTTATCAGTCCCTCTGGCTTCCTTCTATCCCCCTTTCTTTTTTCCTAAATCCCTTCTTTTATTGTTTTTCCTTTTCATCTGATGCTTCTTCCCTCTAAAACTGTCTCTGAGCCAAACCAATTTGAATGCATGCAAGGAAGGATCTGCTATTAGAGCTGCTCTGTCTCTCCTCTTAGTTAGGATATATTTAGCCATCATATTTAGCTTTCTTTTTCCTGGCAGTTCAGTGGCTTTAAAAAGCAGGTGCCAGAAACGGAAAGAGAAGATTAAGAGTACCTGCTGTCAGCTACCTCTCCCTGTGCAGCTGTGCAAAGTGAGCACGTGAGCAGAGTGGATAACAGCTGCCCCTTGAAAACACTCATTTGTAATTCTAATATTTTTTTTTTTTTTTTTTTAATTTCAATAATCTCTTTCCGCACTGCCACAAATTTCCAGAGCAGCTATTTCCTCTCGTGTGCCGCATGCGAACGCGACGTGTGCGTCCGCTGGGAATCGATTAAGCACCCCGTGGGTTTAGGGCGAGGGATGCCAAGGGGTGAGGGATGCCAAGGGACCAGTGCTCCTGCCTGCATGGGCAGCTGCCTGTCCTGTGATGGGGAAGGCATGGATGGAGCCAGGCTCACCTGTGTCCAGGTTCTACCATTCCTGGTTGTCACCTCTCTGGATACCCACTGGTTTAGGAGAAATGGGGTCTCAGGCTCCTTGGTGAGCCTGCTTGGCTCACACCTTCTGTGATATAGCGAGACCTCAGCAGCATGGCTTACCCTGGCTCTTCCTCTCCTTCTCCTCCCTACCTTCTCTTCCCATCCATTGCTGTATCTTCCCCTTCTTATTCCACTCAAACAATATAAAAATACCTTATACTATAAGCTCTCATTGGAGCTTGACTGTGCATTGGGGCACATGTGCAAGGGCACCCTCCACCCTGTCACCAGTCCCTCCTTGTTTCCCTATTACCCACCTCAATTGCGTAGTTTTGGGGCTGAAACCTTTATTTTCCTATTTTTTGAGTCTGCTGGTGCTTTGCAAATACTAACCCAGAAACACCAGCAGCAATACCTGGTGCTCAGAGGTTGTGTGCTTTGCTTCTGAGGGTGAAGCCAGTCCCCCCAGAGCACCCTGCCTGGTTTTCCAGGACCTCTCTAGTGGAAATAAACTCTGAGAGGGCTGGTCCCCATGGATGAGAGGCAGGCTTCATGCCAGCAAGGCTGTGGCACGGTTATGGGAAGGGAGCCTGGCCCCAGGCGTTGCGACACAGATGAGTTTTTTTGTGTTCCTAAACAAGGACTGATAATACAGGCAACTGAGCCAGAGCTGCGGGAGGCTGCTAAGCTAAATGAGACAGGAAGGACGTAATTAAATTAGATACAGAGCGGCATAAAGACATCTGAGCACACATACATCGCTGGGCTGAGAGCCTATTGCATAATCCTGCTGAAGAGCCCTGCAATATAAACCTTCTCACCTAATGCATCCCACGCTGGTGAGCTGCCTGTCCTGGAATAGCATCTCCCACCTCATTGAAGGGGAGAGGCAAAAAAGCTGCCCCGAGGGAGCAGAGGTGCCAGCCAGGTGCTGGCTTGTGCAGGGGGCTGTGGCAGAGCAGCTGGAGGGTCTGTCCCAGGCTTGGTGGGGAGGATGTTGCTGGAACAGCCCAATCCCTCTCCTGTCCCTGGGCTCAGACCTGCATACGTGGTTCTGGCACTACCATGTCCCAGAGCCATGCCCTGCTTCAAACACCCCAGTGTGGGACCTCCATTGTGAGCGTGGCATTTCCTATGGCTTTGTGCATCTTCTGGCTGAGCCACTGTGGTGCCCGAAAAGACACAGCCTTTGACTGACTTTTTCCCTCCCACTGAGGTTTTACAGAGCTCTCTGTCCCACACAGGAACTTGCAAGGACCAAGCTCCCACCACAGGTAGTTCCTCACCTCTGCCCTGACATCAGCTTTGCCTCACCTGAGCCAAGAGCTTCAAAAGCTGCTACAAGGGATAAGGTAAAACCACACGCACACTTGTTCAACACACGTCATGGCAAAAAGCAGTGGAGACTCATGGACTGAAGCAAAGCAGAGTTTTGGCAGGCTGTAATCTCAAGGCAGAGATGTGCAGTTTCTCCTCTCCAGCTCACATCCCTCATGCTCCTTCCCCATTGCTGTTGCTGCCATCCTGGGTGTGTTTTTGCCATACAGTTACTTTTCCCTGGCTGCTTCAAACAACACGTGGCTCCCAGCACAGTGGCTTTGCTGGGCACCATGGAGTTGCTGCCAGAAATCATCTGTCCTGTGTGCCTGTAACACATGTGTAGCCTCCTGGAGGTTTTCTTCTGGCATAACCTGCTCTGAGGATGCCTCAAACACCAGGAAGAGTTACCATAACATCCTATGGCTTTGCAGATAGGCAGCTGGGACAATGGGCTGCAGTTTCAAAGGGGAAAAGGAGAGAGACGAGTCCTGCTTAACACCAGGCATGCCCCAAAATGATGAGGTAGAACAACACCAGGGCACTGCTGAGCACTGCATCTGTGTGGAAAACCAGGGAGGAGACAGAGATGCAGGTGATGAAGGAGAAGGGACATTGCCACCCCAAACCCACAGCTACTGGTCACCTGCTGCAGCTGGGAGGTGAGTGCCAACATGCTTTAGTAGGGGGTTGGACTGGATGATCTCCAGAGGTCCCTTCCAACTCGAGACTTATGTGATTCTGTGAAATACCTGGGTGTGACCCCCTCCTGTGGCTACCAGGAGCCCATGCCCACGTGAGCATGGCACTGGCACTGCGACACCAGTGCTCCCAGCATGGTGGTGAACTGGGCTGGAGCACTAGGCTGAGGTGGCCAAGCACTTCCAAGACCTGTGGTAGGTCAAGTGATGTCCACTCTGTGGGCATGTACAGACCTTCTTGGTGTCTACAGAGGCAAAGGCAATCTTACAGCCCTCTCACCTCTCCTCTTCCCCTTCTTTCTTTAAATCCACAGCAAGGATCACAACTCTAACCATGGTTTTAAGGCACAGAGAAGGCATGAATAAGAGCTTTGTGTAGCTCCATTTATCTGCAGCTGAATATCTGCTAACCAAGAAGGCTTAAACTTGATTATTTGAGGGGAAAAAAACCAACAGAGCTATCGGGAAAGAGGCTGCTCTTGCTTCAAAGCCAAGACAGGAGCTAAAAACGTGTGCTCAGTCATTAGTCCTGATGCATGTTCCATGCCTCGCTTTGGGCAAAATAATTCTGTGGTCTTTTGCTAAGTACTGGGAGAAAGACAAGACTCCCCTTTACAGCTCAGGGGAGCTGAGGTGCCTAGTGCTCCTTTTAAAGTTTTCCATGCTGATATCCTCACACCCTGGCTCCCTGAAGGCAGCTTGAGAGAAGCCTTTCTTCCCAGCACAGGGCCAAGATGGTTTTGTGCTGCCACTCTCCTGGCACAGCTCATCTCCCATGGGAAAGATGCTCTGGCAACTTGCTCTGTGTGATGAATGCAGGCAGCAAGAGTAGGAGACAACCTGAGCTCTGGAAAAATGTCTGTGCTGGCTGTGGAGCTTGGAACAGCAGGGACCAAGTGGGGAGGAGGAGAGAGGAGGAGTGGAAGTGGCAGCTCTTGCCCTTGCCCTGGGACAGCTGTGAGCTGGGGGGATTAAAGTCGCTCCCTGCACTGTGGTGAGAGCTCCCTTCCAAGAGCCACTGAGTGGGGGGATTTCAGGTCTCTGGAATCCTGACTTTGGCATGGGGGACCTGCTGGCTGTTGTGGACCTCTGTTTGTGGCACCAGACCTTGGGGTTTGCTGGTGTGCAGTGTGTGACACTGGTTTAACCCTTTCTCTTCATCTCTCTGTTTTGCTGGTTCAGTCCTTCCCCTCCAGCTTCCAACCCCTCCCCTGCTTTGTCTCCTTTCCATCTTCAGGTCTCTTCAGGATCCACCTTTCTCACATGCTTTCCCCAGCTTTGCTCAGACTTTCTTTGATGTGCATCCCCTCCTCTTCCCTTCTTCCACCATACACCCAGTAGAGAATTTGTGATGAAGAAATGCAACCTCAGCCAACTTGTGGGGACAGGCATCAATCCTTATGTATTCCAGCTGTGGACTGGCCGTGTAATTTGCGAGGAATTGGAAACAGTACAGCCTTCTGCTCTCTGTGGATTGCATTGCCTCAGGAAATGCAAATCCTCCTACCCCTGGGATGCTGCAAATCGGCCTGACTCTGCTGAGGACTGGCATCCCCTGCTTAAACCACTTGGGAAAAGCCTGCTGCTGCGATGGAAGTGCTGGGAGGATTGGAAGCCCTCGGGCAGCAGGAGGGAGCTGACGACTTGCTGTGCGCTACAGCGTCTGTCCTGTCCCTCTCGCTCTCCCCACCCGCGTTCCCACCCGCCGCCGGTTACTCAGCAAGCTCCACACGTCGATGGAAACGAGCCTGTTTTTTCCTGTTATCGAGGAAGCAGCTATGACTGTGATGCTCAAGGACAAGCCTGGGCCTCCCACACCCCCCTCCCCTAACAGCACACACTAACTTACCTAAGCTGTTATCTTCACGGGCGCTGCCAGAGCAGCTTTTGGTTGGCTGGAGGCTGGAGCGATGCTGGGTCCCCCTCCCAGCTCTCCCGCCTCCCACCCGATATAAAGCACAGCTCCTCGCCGCTTTTCCAGCCGACAGCACACGACCGCGGGCGCAGGTGGTGCTGCAGCCACCTGTTGCACACCCCTGCCATCGCCGCAAGGACCGGATGAGTTGCTGGATGCCTGGGTGCCCAGCTCTCAGCATGTGCCGGGGGTTAGCCTCGCTCCCCATCACTTGCCTGGAAAGGTAAGGAGCTTCGCCACGCCGCAGTTCTGGGATGCAGAGGGTTAGCTGGAAAAGGTGCACCTGGACCAGCCTCTGCTGCGGCGGCTGTGTTGTTTCGGTAGAAATTGGGGTGCAGACTGCAAGCAAACACGCAGCGAAGTGATTTTTGGCTGCACCCGTTCTGCTCCCCAGGAGGGGAACGCAGAGGTGAAACACGCGGAGGGAGAGGAGGCTGGACAGGGCTGCCCAGCGTCCGGGTGTACAAACACACCAGGGTTTCTCCGGCTCCATCTCTGCAGAAGTTGCTTCAAGTTGACAGCAGCAGGAGTATTTTTGTCAACACGGTTGAACTGTTAAGTGACATGTTGCTCCTCCTGCCAAACACGGGTACGGAGCCCCGCGCTGCCGGCTTGACATTTAAACACTTATTTTTGTATGGGCGCCTGGGGACGCCGGAATGAGCTGCAGCACACAAATAGCAGCGGGGCCGCACGGTGCCTCGGGGGGACCCTGGGGAGAGGAGCCGATTCTCCCTCCGTGTTGCCGCAACGATTTCCCGGTAGGGAGGTGCCTCCATTCCCTCGCCCCAGAGCCGCGGTGACAGGCAGTAGCATCCCAGCCTCTGGCGCAGGAGCATCGTGCTGCCGCCGGGCTCGCTGGCTCTGAAGGCATGGGGTAGGTGGATGGTGCCACTGGGGAGCACGGCCCTCTCCATGGCGTGGTGCCAGGTTCCTGGTGGCTCAGGGGCACCCCAAAAAGAAAGCCAGGCAGCAGAAACCTGACAGCAGGGACAGGCTCCCGCTCCGCCGGGCAGAAAGCAATCGCTGTGTTTTTCCAGCGGTTTGGGAGAAGTGTAGTCCTGCCGGGAGAGCGGGATGGCAAAAGGAGCCAGGTTAGCTGCGGGGGCTGCGGGGGCTCCAGCTGAGCACTCAGCAGCTGCTCTGCTACCTGCCCCAAAGGAAAAAGCTCGTCGTGCTTTGTATTTCATGCGACTCTACCTGGGAAGCAAGCGGGAGAAAAGAGTCCCGCAGGCTTAATGCGCTGCTGAACGTGGTTGCCAGGGAGCAGACAAAGCAACTGGGGGAGCATTTATTTCATACATCGGAAAGCAAAGAGGAGGCTGAAGCTGGGGAGCGAGGGCTGCCCCCACCGAGCCCGTGGGGTGCAGCCCCTGCGAGGTGAGGGGGTGGCAGCAGCAGTCCGACAGTCCAGCAAGCCCAACTCTCCCCTTCCTCCCTTCCAGAGCCAAGGATCTGAAGACCCGCTTAGGGATCCTGCTCCATAAACCAGAGCTGGGACACGGGATCGGGACCTCCAGCAAGCTGCAGCTGGGCTCCAGGCGGAGGTAAGCCAAGCAGTACCATGTCCCAGGTTCAGCCCGGGACAGGTCCCCATGGACCAGGCTGTCCCGAGGGATAATCCTGCTCATCTGCGCAGCAGAGAGCACAGAGTGCAGCTCCCCCTCCCCATAGTCCCACCCAGGAAGGCCGGGAAGGCGGATCACTTCCCAGCTCCACCGGTTATAAAATCAGACGGGGGAACTGATGCTCTGGCATTAGGCACAGAGAGCAGGGCCTTAGCAATAGGCAAGAAACCCAGGGGGCTCCCACAGTTCTTGGTGTCTCAGACCAGTGCCTGGGATCCCTGGGGAATGCAGGCAGCCTTAAAAACAAAATACTAAATATTGTTGCTGAGGGCTGGGTCTCTGCTTGCAGAGGAGGCTCTGCTGGGCTTGTACCAGCAGAAAAAGGCTCTTCTGAGCATTCTTTAGAGAACCTCCTGGCCAGCACTATGGAGCTGAGGTCTGGTGAGCCTTCAGGGACTGTAAAAGAGAGAGAGAAAGGAAAGAGAGCCCACAGGTAATGGACATTGGCCTCTCGCTTTCGTTTCCTGCCGAGTGCTGCTGCTTCCCTTCTTGCACTGTCTCCCGTTGATGGAGCCACAGAACTGAAGTGCTCCCATCCTTCACAGCAGGACAGCAAGCCTTACATCCTTTTGTCTTTTCCAGAGACTCCTCACGAGAGGTACTGGAATGGAGGGAGTCCTTCGACCAGCTCCTGAAGAGCAAAAGTGAGTAGCATTTTGATTTCTTCTCTTGGTGAGAGCATGTAGCACAAAATACAGCTCCCAGTGAGCTGTATGCCTGAAGTGAGCATCCAAGGAAAGCTCATCTCCTCCTCAAATGAGATGCTTTAGGATTTAGAAAGAGGTCCCTTTCCTGCCCAGACAGAGCTGATGCACGGGGTTCATTGCCTGACTTGGGAAGCTGTACCCTTTTCTTCTGACTGGGTGCTTTTGGGGGGACAAATGCTGTCTCACAATGCCTTGCTGCTGCCTCGGGACAGGAGCATCGTCATGGGCATCCCATGTGGAGCAGTCTGTCAGGGAATGTCATGGCATTCCCGGACCATCCCTTTCTCCACACTCGGGAGAAGGCAGAGTGTCTGCTCGCAGTGTCCTCCTTTGCACAGCGATGCAGCCACCTCCCCACAGGCTTGCTCAGAAAACTGCATTGCTGCCCTCTGTCTGTCTGTCCTGTGCCTCCAGGGATGGCTCTTCCACAGGGAGAAGGAATTCAGCTGTTTTACTGAGTTACCATAGCCATTTCCCCCTGCAATATTGTGTGTATGTGATGCACAGGTCTCCAGTGAGGTTCTGTCTCCCTCTCCTCCACGCAGACAGCACCTCCAGACCCAGAGAGGGGACCTCTTTTTGAGGTCCCCATGTAATCCCTCCCTCACAGCAGGCACACAGTGGCAGAAGTGCCAAATTTTAATACAAAAGTAGTTGTCTACTTTAAAAGCTATTCCCCAGCAAGACAAAGTCCTTCCACAGCAATAGTTCGGGGCTAGGCAAATTTTTTTTTTTCCAGCCTTCATCACGTGCTGTGATGGCTAACGAGCATCTCCGGCTTTGTAACTTAATCCATCCTCCCAGCACGGCTCTGAAATCCTTGCTGCAATTACTCTCCCATCCTCAGCATCTTGCCCTCCCCAGATCTCAGCTGAGAAATAAAAATAAAGGCTTGGTTCCTGCAGACGCACCGATGCGTCAGTGGATTTCTCCTTAGGTAGAATTAGCTCTTTTCCGAAGCTGTAAAGAAAATACTCTGAAGCCTCATTAAAGAAAGGTTAGATAAATACAACCAGAGGATTACTTGTCTGTGGGAAAGGATTTTATTGGAGTCTAGAGGCCAATTAGCAGTGTCTCAGAGGGTGGAATTTGCCCGGAGGGAAAGGAAATCTGCAGATGTCATGGTCTGAGCTCCCAGGGCGACGCTCGAAGGGCAGCGCTGTGTCTGGTGGTGGTCCTCCTTTTCCTCCCTGCCTTCTGCCCCATTAACTGCTCTTCTCCCCCCTCTCCAGGTGGGGTGAATGCTTTCCACACCTTCCTGAAGACAGAGTTCAGCGAGGAGAACCTCGACTTCTGGCTGGCATGTGAGGACTTCAAAAAGACCCGGTCAAAAACCAAGCTGGCCTCCAAAGCCAACAGGATCTTCGAGGAGTTTGTCCAAAGTGAGGCACCCAGGGAGGTGAGAGCATTTTCTGCCTCTGTCCTGTGGAAACAAATAGGGGGAGGAAAGGAATAAAATATCCTGGTGGGTTTTATTAAAGTGCTCTCGTATCGGTGGGAAGATGAGTGCTTTTTCATGAAAGCTTTCATCTCTAACATCGTGTGGTCTGTCACCACTGAATCATTAATGTTGGAACAGACCTCTAAGGTCATGGAGTGCAACCACGAAGAGATAGAAAAGCTTGCAAGAATCTTCACCCTCGCCTAAAAATGCAGAAAACCGGGTTTTTCCCCCCCACAGGAGGGGAGTTAATGCCGAGCTAATGTTTAGGGATGCTGCTTCCTTGCAGGTGAATATCGACCACGAAACCAGGGAGATCACCCGCAAGAACCTCTCCGGTGCCACCTCCGCTTGCTTCAACGAAGCCCAGGCCAAGACCCGCACTTTGATGGAGAAGGACTCCTACCCCCGGTTCCTGAAATCCGCCTCCTACCAGGACATGACCAAGCAGGCCACCAGCCGCGGCACCAGCAAGAGGTCGCATACCTGACCCGAGCCCGAAGCCACCACGGGGGGACGAGCCGGGGGACCAGGCGGAGGCTGGGACATGGTTAGCAGGGTCTGAGGTCTGCACGGAGGGGTTTCAGCTGAAATCCTGGAATTTCAGCAGGATCCCCAGGACCTCGAGTGCTTCCCGCTGCCCACTGAGCCGCTGGGAAGAGCAGTCCTCCCTCCCTGGAGGAACGGAGCAGGTGGGAACCTGGTACCTCCCCTTGCAGCTCAACCGGAGACCTGCACCTCTGCAGAGACTGAAAGAAATCAGATTCGAGTTGCAAGTCCTGGAAAAAGATCGGATTCCCCTAAACATCCATAACCGGAGAGCTCCCACCTGCTCTCAGGACCCTGCCCCTGAGCTGCAGCATCAGCCACTGGCTGGGAGGCCAGCACAGGAGCCTGCCATTCCCTCATGCAGAGCTTTTCCTATGAGGGAACGGCCAGAATAAAAGCCCAAAGACTACGTGGCATTTGCAGCTGGAGGGATCCTGCATCTGCCTTCTCCTGATCCTGAGATCCTTCTGCTGTTTCCTATGCATGCTCTGCATCAAAGCTTTACACCTCCTTCCAGTGCAGTGCATCCCAAGCAGTGACGTTTTTATCCCTCGCTTGAGCTCAACGACCTTTAGATTGCACAGAATCTTAGGTCACATGCGTAACTTTTTATTACTATTATTGTTATTTATTTTATCATTATTGTTATTGTTATATATATATATATATTTATTAGGAGAGCACTGCTGAAAGCATACACGCAGCCGAGGAGCTTGTGAAAATTAAATTATTTTAGCTATTGTAGCACTTAGCATGTGTCCCACCTCTTCTGTATAATAATTTAACGTGACCAGAGAGATCTGTAATGCGACCATGGAGCAAGGTATGCCCATAGCAGCAGGGAGAGCTGCTAGAGGGGTCTCAGGAGGCAGGTTTTCCATCAGCTCAGAGGACCACGGATGGCAGAACAAAGATGCTTTGCAGTGCATGTTTTTCCTTTCTCCCTTTAAAGATGTGGATGGCAGCTTGTCCTAGAGAGAGAATAGCGATGTGGAAAAGGCACTTTGGTGAGTGATCCCATGGAAAATGTAATTTTCACACATGGGAGAGAAAACCTGGGCTTTGTGCTGGTTTATAATTGGGCTTGGTATTCCCTGGGCTGGTGAAACCAGCCTGCAGCCATAGCACTTTACCAGAAACCCGTGGTGTGAGCAAGACAGCAACATGTGCTGTGAATTCAGTGTCTCGGAGGGGCATCAGGATATATCATCAGCTCAGACCTGGGGGAGACCTCTTCTGAAAGTCCCTCTCAGCAGGAATTTCTGGGTCCTGCAGCCACCTGGAAAGGTGTGGGTCCCATCTGGCAGCAATGGTGCCAGAAGCTGTGCCGGTGGGTGATGGGGATTCCACCAGTGTCCTGTGCTGGCTGATGGGGAATGCACCACCAGCACAGTTTCCTGCTGAGAGAGCCTGGGGCCACTTCATGTGGCTCCATTTATCCCTAAAACCCAAACCCAGATGTCCTCACCCACTGGTACTCACCCCTCGCCAAGGGAAGTGTCTTTTGCCCCCCCTGCCCCAGCACCAGCTTGAGCACAGGTTCACTCTGGCTTTTAGCAGCTGTTTGAGCAGAACAAGGGACTGAGGACCAATTTGGGGATGTTATTCTATGAGTTCTCTTCCACTGTCCCCATCCTGGTCCTACCTCTGAGCCTCAGTATGTCCCAACTCCATTTACAGGGAGATATTAGCTGCTTTCTTATCTATTATTTATTCTTACAACTGGAAACACCTTTGCTGTGTTACTGAAGTGAACAATGCACAATGGTCTGTTTTCATTACTGATGTGATGTTGTCATTACAAAACAAAATGTAAAGAGGAAAATACTGTGAGAGCGTGGGCTGGGGCTTTTTTGCTTGTGGGCTTTCAATTAAATTTTACATTTTAATTTTGGATGCTTTGCAAAGCCCACAAATCTGCTTGTGTTGGGTGACTTAAGGGGCATTTCCAGTCACTTTAAAAGTGGCAATGTCAGGAGCAGAAAAGGAAGGGGGAAGATTTGTGAAGTGTAAAGCTTTTTGGTATTTGGCTTATTGAAGAAAACCGAACAGTTCACAGCAAGAACGAATGCAGGAGTTAAGTTTTGAATACAGATACTGCAGGGAGGGGAGCATCCAAGTGTAGCTTGAAGATGTTAATGCTCTAAATAAAAACCCAACCAAAGCATGGTTTTTAAGCTGCCTTCTTTCTATTTATTGTGTGTTTTGGAAGCCAAAATTAACTGGCCTGCGTCAGCAGAGGAGAGCGTGTGGGGACTGCTGAGGAGGAGCTGGAATCACTGGAGCATGTATGTTCCAAGGTGTTACTGTGAACACAAGCCATCCTCTGCCATTAAAATGCCTTTTACAAGCCCCTGCAGCTATAACAAAACTTTATTTCCCTTCTAATACAGCCATGCAGGGTGCAAGGATCACCATTGATTGTAAAATACATCGATGTTGCTCCATCCCTATTCCCTACCTATCCAGAGGAAGGCTGGTTGAACTTCCCCCTGTCTTTTATTCCCTTTTTAATTAAGCATGGCCTTGTCTTACAAGCCAGGTGATCTGGAATCACAGCAGTCTGCATGTATACCTAATCTTTGTGCATGTCAGAGGGAAGAAATGAGCTGAAAGGTGTCCAGGAAGTGTTTAAATTATTTGTCACAAAAGAGTTAGAGCAGTAAAGCAGTCTAGAAGCAGCTAGAAACAAAAAAATAGTGTTGCTGATTTGTTTTTTTAACTGCAGCTTCTAAATGAAAAACATGAATACTTTGTCTTGCAGACTTGAAGCTAATTTAACACTGATTAAAAAATATTTAAGTAAGCCAACAACAAAAAAAAAAAAGGTAAGAAAAATATAGAATTACAATCTATTTGAGCTTTCTTTAGAAGAAAATTTATGTCCATTCTTGACGCATCATGCATGGCCCAAGCTGAGCCTCAGCCTTCGTGTTAGCACTCAGACCCCACTGTTGCTTCTGGAGAATCCCATTTGCAGCACAGTTTCGTCTTCACAAGCCTGAGATGCTTCCCAGAGAGACAATTCCATCACTAAAAGCAAGCCTGGATCCAGCGCATCTTCCGCAATTGCTTGCCATATCCAGTGGCAGTATGACAAAACCTTAAAGCCTTGGGGGGATAAAAGACTCCAACCCACAAAACCACGTTGAGAAAGAGGAGCCAAAGCTTCCCATGACTGCCTTCGGGCACGGCCGGCAGCGATCGCTTCCAATAAACCACGGCCAAAGTTTCCCAGGGAGGAGGCTGCGAATTTGGAAGCAGCAGAGAAGATCTGAGCTCCGGGGAGCAAATGTGGGGCCTGGCGCTGGCCCCCCCTGCCCCCCCCGGGGTGTGAACACATACTTGCTCCAGGGCCAGGTTTCCATGAGCCAGGACGGGGGGCGGGGGTGTGTGGATTTATTTGGTGGAAAAAACCACCCGTTTCCCTCTGCCCTGGGACCCAGCGTGTTCCCAGCAGCTGCTCAGTGGGGTGGCATCGTCACTCAGGAGGTCCCCGCTGTGGTGGGACCAAGCAGCTTCAGGGTGACCCTAGGACATGGGCACAGGTGCACAAGTGGCCCCGCAAAGACACGTGTTTAGGCAGGTGGATGTGCACATACAAGCGTACGGATGCTGAGCCTTCATCTTCCATGGATACACGTGTGACAACATACACATGCCAGCAAATTCACGTTTGCACGCGTGTACATCCATGATTTATTTATTTTTTTTTTTAAAGAAAGACTGCAAAGAAATGCAATGTTATTTCAAGATGTATTTGAAGGAAGCTCAGCAGCAAAAGGGATGCACTGAGCCATTTCAAACACGGCAAATGCCCTACCCTGTGTTCTGCAGTGCTCTGACAGCCCCCGGGCGGGCTGACAGGGAGGGAGCAGCTGTATGGCACTGATTCCCACTCGGCAGCTTCCACTTCAAGGCCTTTGCCTGAATAAAGTGCCAGAAATCACAGCTGATGTGTTTCCATACGGCTCACTCTCCCTCGCAGGCAGCTAAATGCCAAGGTTGCCAATCCGCTCCAGCTGTGCACAAGGATTCTTATCCCCGGGGTACCTCGGGATCTGAGAAAAAAATTAAAGCTAATTTTCAAGCTTTCTGATGCTGCTGGGGCACCGAGGGTAGTGTTGGGTTCTGCAGCCATCCTGCCTCCCCGGGGTTGGGCTGCCTGTGCTGGAGGACAGCTCGGATATGGAGCAGCTGCAACCTGGGCTTGGCCCGGGGAAGGGGGGGGGGGGGGGGGGGGGGGGGGGAAGATGGGGATGAGAAACAGCTGGGAGGAACAGTGCTGGGGAACCACCTCCACTGCTTTTAAGCTCAGGTGCCCAGTCTAGCTCCTCCTTTTTGGACCTACCATGGCTGATCTGGGATGTTTCCAATGGACCTGCTCTGCTCTCCTTGCCCAGGGGCTGGGATGCGCTGCCCTGCTTGGTGAGGTCCCTGCCTCCCTCGCTGTTGCCCTCACCTCTCCTTCCCTGCTGCATATGCTGGGTTTTTTCCATTTTTTGTAGTGATGAGGATTGAGCAGCAGTCCAAAAAACTAGCAAATGCAGTTAAAAATTGTAAAAATACTCCATGGTAAAATGTGTAGATGTGGCACTGGGGCACATGGTTCGGTGTTGGACTTGGCAGTGCTGGGTAACAGTTACCTTGACGATCTTGGAGGTCTTTTCAAACCTAAATGGTTCTATGAAATGTGGTTGATGCTCCTACATGGATAGCATCACCTGTTAGTGTTTAAACTGCATCCTTCTGTGGACTATTTTCCAGAGCTGTGTTCCAGCACAGAGAGTCACGTCAGTGTGGCCAAGCATGTAAACTCTGGGATATTCCCTTTTGGAAATATAATAAGAAAGCACAGGAAGGGAACATGAAGAAAAAACCTCATCTTACTATTCCTAGCTCCTTTAAAAATTATTTTGCCTTTGGCAGGCAGTTTTTGTTGCCCCATTTTGCTTCATTTTCATTTGTGGCTGGTAGCCAGGACACGGATTCTCGGAGATGTTATCTCAGGGGAAGGGTTGCAAAAATGGCTGCACGTCCATCAGGATGGAAGAAAAGGAAGATTTGCTTAACTGTGCCCTTGATTTCCCTGCTGACTGTGTCTCTGCAGCTCCTCTCCTGAGGCCCTGTGTTCGTGGGGGCAAATAATGACTCTGCAGATCTGCAAATACAGCAGGAACTACATAGCCCAGGGCTATAGGAATAGTTGTGGAGAGGAGCTCTCTGACTCCTGTGCTTTAGAAAACCTTTGAGAGCCTTATATTCACCACAAACTGCCTGTCACAGGGACTGAGTTTAAGCTTATGACTATGGAAAGCAATTTGGATGAGGGATGAGAGATAAGGAAAGTGTTACCAGCAAATCCTTCTCTGCTGAGGTACAAGCACAGGATACTTCTGCCAAAGATCTGCTGGTTGCAAACACCTTGTTCTCACTATCCTAGGGTTTGGGTTCCCACCATCCTAGAGTTTTTCATCTTCCCACCATAAGATAACGAAAGACTTTAATTAAATCAGCAAGCTGAAGAAGGCTTTTGTACTTGGGTGGGTGGTGTGATATTGTTATGTACTGTAATGTTGACTTCTTTTGGATCTGAGCCTGGGATGTGCCCCTGCTCTGCTTGTTTGCCAGCCTGCAAATGGGTAGTTTAACACTGGCAGCTCCAGCTCTGGTTAAACTGGGAGTGACTCTTTCTGTGAATTAAAATGAGATCTTGAGAGCCTCGAGGGTGACTTGAGATTGCTCCCTGAGTTTTCAGTGTCTTTGTCTCTGTGGGGCTGTGTCAAGGTCTCCTGTGGCAACACAAACTCTGTGAAATTCCATCCAGAGACCGTGGGATGTTCCTAGACCTTGTGGATGCACTGCACGCTGTGGGAAGCAGGATGCCCAATATGACAGTAAGGTAGAAAGATGTGACTGCATAGGCAGAGTTTTGTGAAAGCTGGTGTGCAGGCATGAGCCAGCAGTGCAGGCATCCATAAAGGATTGGGATATGCATGTAAAACATGCAGGACTGTATCCATGCAGCCTTTCCAGGTGGGTTTTCTGCATTTTTGCCCTGCATTTGTATCTGGCAGTGTCTCCGTGTACATCTGCAGACTCCCAGTTTGTGCACGTACCAAGGCAGCATGAAAAGCCAGGCATGATTTTATTGACACAATTTCAGCCCTGCTTCATGCCTGAACAGAATCTTGCAGCTGGCACAGTTCAGTGAGGGTGGCTGGGGAGGTTGTGTGGGCCCTGCTGAGCTCACCTTGTGTCATGGGGCAGTGGGGGAAACTGAGTGGGACGTCACAGCCTGGGTTCCTTCACGTATTTCCTTCACATGTTTTGCAGGTAGATGGGAAGGGTTGGGAGACCAAGCTCCTCGGGCAGCACTGTTTACACGGAGCTGGCTCCAAGGAGGAGGGTGCCTGGGTGGTGGGAGCTGCCTCTCAGTGCCGTGAAGAAACCGCGGATCCGGAGCTCAGCGGCTCCCCGGGTGTAATTTAGCAGCATGGCTAGTTTCCTCATGTGGATGGATTCATCAAAAGGTGAGGAAAAGCTTCAAATAATGACCCAAACCACCCCAAACTCCCCCCAAACCCCAGCACTGACGCACTGAACGTCTCCGTGCCTTCAGCTCCCGAGCCACTGCTGAGCAGATGTTTGTAAACCGGCTCTGTGTGTGTGGGACCGTACGGGGAGAGCACTTTGCTCACGACCTCTCTGCTACGTGCTGAAAAAAAAGTCGCCAAACACCCTCCCCGAAACCCCAACATCCTTCCGCGAGTGGATTAAATGCTCCCGGGGCTTCTCCTTCCTGGGATGGGACAGCGGGTACAGTTCCTGGGAAACAAACGCCACCTGGGGACACTTGCTGGGAAGCAGCAGTTGAAGAGCAGCTGCTGAGAAAAGCTGCTCTGCGGCTTTAAAGGCATTTTAAGCAGCGTCCGGGTTTTCTGGATGGGCAGAGGGACCCCTTCTTCGCCTCGCCTGGCGGGTGACACCAGGCGGGCAGGGCTGTGTGACACCAGGCGGGCAGGGCTGTGTGACACCAGGCGGGCAGGGCTGTGTGACGCTGCACATCAGCACATCGCGATACGCAAACGGCTCGTGGTCAAAAGTTCAGTTGGGGCGGGACAGAAATGTTTGACCATTTTCTGGAGCACGGCGCTTGCGACTCTGCGGCTCGGAGGAGGAAAAGGTAGGTGCTCAGCCCCTGCCTTCCCCCTCCCCAGTCTTCTGCCTTCCCGACAGGGGTGAGGAACTTGAGCCTCACCGTGCCCAGGGAATGCTCTGCTGCTTTTCTAGCCAAGGAAGTAACGCTTTATTTTTTTTTTTTTGTATGTAGGAAAGGGCATAGAAATTATTACAAGGAAATGAAATGCATCTAAATGAAATAGCGTGTTCATTTCCTGCTGGGTGGGGAGATAAACCATTCAGAAAATGATCTTTGGCTTTCCTGGGAGCAAATTCATGTGAGTTGACGCTTTACTTTTACACCTTAAGACTTCCCTCTCCCTTTTCTGATTTGCTTAGGTAATTTATTTCCAGTCCAGCTTGCCAGACAATGATTCCTGAAAGGGCTGGTCACTTGAACCAGCCTTTGCAGGCAGCAAAATAGGTATTGGAGCTTGAGCTTTTCTAGATACTAGATCGATACAGACAGATCAGGCCGTACCCTCTTAATGTCGTTAAAAAGCTTAGGGAAGGCTTTCTGTCAGGTAGGGTCTCCTAATTGCCTGTGGAAGCAGGAGGGATTAAGGTTGGTTTTCCATCTCATTCCAGGTATTGGATCAGGGACATTCAGGACTATGTGTGGCTGCCATACAAAACTGAAGGGGAAAGCCCACCTCTCCCTGCCCGTTGTGTTCTCCACCTGAAACTATTGGTGGGGGATGGCTTATTAGGTAACCTGTAACGAGTCTGAGGTAATATTTATAGCAAGAACAGCCTGGGTTCTCCCCTGTGCCCTCACCCTGATGCCCCAGGGGACACCTGCCTGGGCTGTGAGAGCTGCTGAGGCCAGGCAAGCAAACACAGTGAGTCCTTCCTTAAGTGCTGTGCTTCTTGCTGGGCCTTGGCTCTCCTGGCTGGCACTGGCATTGCTGTCCTTAATTACCCCTCACACAGACCTGCAGGACATCGAGTGTAAATGGCGAGGTTTTGCAGGCTAATAAAGCAGGATTTTCTGTTTATTAATTAAGTGAAAAAGCCGTTAACTACCGTGTTTCATCAGCCAAACCCAGGCATCCCCCCCCAATGAAGGCACTGAGCATTGCATCTCTCCTATCCTTCAACAGGATTCCTTGTACAGAGCCCTTCTAACCATCATGGAGCCTGCAGCTCACAAACAACAGGGGGTCTCTACCCCTTCTAATGTGAAGACAGCAGAAGACCTTGCCTTTGAGCTAAATGCTGCTGTGAAGAACAGAAAGAGAGAACTTGTGCTGGAGCTGCTGGAGAAAGGGGCAGATGTGAACTCCAAAGTAGGAGGTGGCTGGACACCACTGCAGACTGCTGTGCAAACTGGTGAGGTGGACCTGGTCCGACTTCTGCTGGAAAAGGGTGCTTGTCTGCATGCCAGGAAGGACAATGGTGGCACTGCATTTACTGAGGCAGGGATCATGGGAGACGTGGAAATACTGAAGCTCCTCCTGGACCATGGGGCAGACATTAATGACCCTGACAGCAACGGCTTCACAGCTTTCATGGAGGCTGCGTGGTATGGGAAGGAGGAAGCCTTGAAATTCCTGTACAGCAAAGGAGCCGAAGTGAATTTGAGGAGAGTAACTAGTGAGGAGAAAGCCAAACTGCATGAAGGAGGTAAAACAGCACTGATGGATGCTTGTAGGAAGGGCCACTTCTCGGCCGTAAAAATCCTTGTTCAAGAGATGGAGGCTGATGTGAACATTCGTGACAACAGAGATAGGAATGCCTTGATCCATGCTCTAAAGAAGGATTCAAAAAAAAAACCTGAGTCAGTTCTTGCCGTAGTTCGCTTCCTGCTGGACCATGGTGTTGATGTGAAGAGCAAAGATGAATGGGGGAAAAGTGCCCTCATCCTAGCTGTTGAAATGGAGAGCCCAGAGCTGGTGAAAACTTTACTGGAGAAGGACGAAATGGATATTGATGATGCAGATGAGGAGGGCAACACAGCGCTGATGATGGCTGTAGAGAAAAATGATCACAATACAGCGAAGGTGTTGTGTGAGAAAGGAGCAAGGACTGATGTTGGGAACCTTATCGCAGTTGCTAACAGAAATCGTTCTCGTAGCATGGAAAATCTTCTTCGCGTGCATAATGCCACGTTTGTTCCAGAAACCCCCAGAGACTGGGAGCCAAACAGCAAACGCTGGAGGGACCAGCTGAAAAAGCTTGATCAAATCTATCGCCCTATGATTGGCAAACTGAAGACATTTCATTACATCGAGCAGAGAATTTGGGAAGGCATCTACCTCGGGCTCCACGGAGGGACAGAGGTAGCAGTAAAAGTAACCCTCAGCAAAGAGGGTGATGAAGAGAAAAAGTTCTTTGAAAAATGTTGTCACTGTGAACGTCTACTGAAGCTCTTCCAGTCTGAGAAGGAAAAAGGCTGCATGTACCTGTGCTTCCCACTCTGGGAGAAAACCCTCCAAGAACATCTGCAGGACCCAGAAGACCAAAAGGATTACAAAGCTGCTCTGAAGATGATCTTCCAGGCACTGAGAGAGCTGCACTCCCTTGGATTTGCTCACCAGGATCTGCAGCCCAGGAACTTTGTAATAGGTTATCTTTTGCTTTTTTTGTGTTTTTGTTTTGCCTTCCCGTTGCCTGCAGTTAAGAGAATATGTTTCATAGCTATTTGTAAAAATGTAGATGGCTTTATGCCAAATGGGGTGTCCGTGGCATTAGATTTCTCCTTTGAATAACTATGTTCACAGACAGCCACTGAGGAGTGAAAAGAACAACCTTACGTGTCTCATTAGCTTTGCCCTCCTCTCCAGGGCTGTGAAGACTGATCAGCCCACGACATATCAGCCCAAAATCTCTTCAGAAAGTTGTTTTCTAAAGGAAGGGCCATCCAGAAGTCAGTGGTGGACTGTATCCAGTTTTCCCACCATTATTTGTTAACAATTTCTCTTATTTCCTCAGATTTAGGTGGCAAAATTTACTTGGCAGACTTTGATAATAAAAGAAAGTTGATCGAAGGCCAAGAAGAACTTGTAAACTCAGATTTAGAGGTAAGTTCTCTGCGAATCAACCTGTGGTTTAAAATTTCAGGTTCTCTCTGATATTTTCTGTTGCTGTGAGTCCTAGGGAAAGCCCTTCTGCATCCTCAACTAGAAAACACCTTGATTTGTGGGAAAGCCCATGTAATAATAGATGCTGCATAAGAATGATAGTGGTTAGGATGCAGGACCGTGCCTGGTCCTGGGATATCCACAGATCCCTTGAGAGGAAGGTTACCGTGCCCGTCTCCTCTGTCCTTGGGCACACAGCTTCCAAGTTTGTGTTGGTGTGTATTTACATACTTCTGGACACCTACAGGGCTTAGGAATACGAGTCCCCTCCCATTTGGTGGGAAGTTCCATGTACCTGGCAGGTGAGCAGTGATGTGTCTCTTTGCAGGCCCTCAGCAGGCTCATGCTGTACGTTTTAACAGGGGGTAGGAAACCCCTTCAGCAAGTCAGAATCGAGGATTTGGACACTAAATCCCCAGATTACAATGAGGCTCTGGACCTTATAAGCAGCCTGTCCTCTCATGATGAACGAGGCTTGGAAGGTTTGAGCAAACATCCCTATTTCTGGAGCAAAGAGATGTAAGTCCTGGCTGTGTACAAAGGGAAAGCTTTTGGTACAGGAACTGACTGTAGTGCTGGGAAAAGGCATGTCCTACTGTAGCTAAGGAAGCTTCTCATTCCACAGCAGGTTCAACTTCCTGAAGAGTATATGGAATCAAATCAAAGATATCAACAACCGAAAAACTATTTTTCAAGACTGTAATGTTACTGAAACTTTTCCTTATCCAGAGTGGACCAAGGAGGTAATCCTCTTCTCTTTGGACTGATGTGAGGTTTGAGCTATAGACATTCAGGTAGAAGCTTCTCCCAAGTGTTCCATAGGCTGTGTTTAAAAATGTAACTGTGAAAAGTAGCCCCACACAAATCAGACAACTGGGGGAAACAATTAAATCTAAGGCACTTGGTCGAAAGATATCGATGCTTAAGTGAGCTCTGTTGACTGGGGTGGTCATTATAGATTAGCTGGTTAACCTTCAAAGGTTTGGTTTCTTTTTTGGTGATCACTTAAGACAAGGACCTCTGTTCCTCGTTGCCAGCAAATTTCTGGCAAAAGTGTTTTGTTGATTGTCTCAAAAGCAGCCAGACCAGGCCTGCTTCCTCAGGTAACGTTGTGCTGCATCATTTGGGATCTTGACAGTCTCAGTTCAGTACAGCAGCCCACGTGGTCCTCAGTGGCACAGTTAGATCAAGACTCTTGCATCCCCCCTGCCCTCCAGGCAAGTAGGAAAATCTCCTGTGCCATGTTGACAGTCCTAATACAAATGCCACACCTTGGCAAAGCGGGAGAGGAAACCCTTAGCAGATATGGTGCATTCCCTGCAGAGTGGACTCTTCTGCTCGTGTTAGGAAATAGGCTTTTAAGGGTCAGGAGATTTTTCCCATGCAAGATGACATCCCTGCAGAAAGGCAGTGGTGGTAGATGTGCTGCTGTGGTGTGTGAAAGGCAGAGAATAATCTATGTCCTTTCTTTCAGATTGACGAAGATATTCTAAATGTAATGAAAAATCCCAGGAATCCAAAATCATTCAAACCCAGAAAACATAGCAATTGTGCCACCAAATCCTTCCACTACAGCAATGATGTCACTGACCTACTGAGGCTCATCAGAAACCTGGATGAACACAAAGATAAAGGGTACGTGTTTCTCATCCTTTCCCCTGCCACAGTTGCACAGAATCACAGAATATCCCGAGTTGGAAGGGATCTAAAAGGATCACAGAACCCAACTCCTGACCCTGCACAGAACACCCCAACAATCCCACCATGTGCCTGACAGCGTTGCCCAAACACTTATTGAGCTCTGTCAGGTTTGTTGCTGTGACCACTGCCCTGAGGAGCCTGTTCCAGTGCCCAGCTGCCCTCTGGGTAAAGAACCTTATCCTAATATCCAACCCAAATGTCCCCTGACACAGGACCATGCTGTTCCCTCAGGTCCTGTCACTGGTCACAGCGAGCAGAGATCGGTACCTGCCCCTCCGCTTCCCTTCGTGAGGAAGCTGCAGACCCTGATGAGGTTTCCCCTCAAGTCTCCTCTTTTCCAGGCTGAACAAACCCAGTGACCTCAACCACTCCTCAACCCTCTCTAGTCATGGGCACTCACATGTGAGGTTAGAGGGGTGTTAGCTCCTAGTGACGGTTTCACTGAGGATCGTGGCCACCAGTGCCCTTCAGTGAAGATGCAGGTGGGATTAGGTAGATGGAAGTGCTGGAGGAATAGCAAAAAAAAAAAAAAAAAATAAAAAGAGGCTGAGGAGTTTAGGTAAGGTATAGAACAGTCACAGCTCTGGGGTTTCTAGGAAACCTTCCTGTGTTATCAGAAACCTCTGGAATGGCATTTTCCCTGCAAGGGAAGAAGCAGGGCATCCTGGACTATTGACTCCTTGGACAAGCTTTAAGAATCCTTATTGTTTTTGTTCTCTTTCAGGATCAGTGACAAAATAGGAGACTATGCTGAGTATTTCCTGGAGACTTTTCCAGCACTTACCATTTATGTCTACAACAGTTTACGCCAGAATCCCACATACAGTCACTTTGCAGACATCCAGGACCCTTCTCTGTAGGATGTCATTGTCTCCTGTCCCATGTCTGATCC